GTGTGTGTGTGTGTGTGTGTGTGTGTGTGTGTGTGTGTGTGTGTGTGTGTTGTATACATATGCATTTGCAACTTTAAAGAGTGGTTTCTCTCCCTTCTACCATGTAAATTCTGGGGATTGAACCTAGGTTGCCAAACATAACAGCACCTTTGCCCACTAAGCCATCTCTCTGGCTCCACCTTATTTTTTAGACCATGATCTCCCACTGTTGTGGCCCAGGATCTAAGGCTCTCCTGCTATCCACAGGGTTTACAGACACATGCCGCCATGCTCAGGCCTGATAGCCCTCTGATTACTTCATGTAGGCAGTTACAGCTAAAAGCTTCTTCTTAGGCCTACCCATAAATGTTAGGTGTTGTGTTTTATTTCGTTTACATCTAATTCTGGAAATTTTTAATCTTGATTTCTTCTATGAGCCACTCATTCAGTAGTGTAAAGTCTTATTCCATTGTTACCAAATATAATACAGGCAGATATTTTAGATTTTCTGTATTAGTTAAGAGTTTATATTCATTTTTAGTTTTATTTTTTTTCCCCGAGGCAGGGTTTCTCTGTATAGACTTGACTGTTCTGGAGCTAGCTCTGTAGACCAGGCTGCCTCAAACCCACAGAGATCTTCCTGCCTCTTTCTTCCAGGTTCTAGAATTAAAGGTGCTTGTCATCGCCACCCAGCTTATTTATTTTTTTTTCATTTAGATTTATTATCCTTTTACAAGTATGAATGTTTTGTTTGCATGTAGGTCTGTTCACCATGTGAGTGTTTATTTTTATTTTGTGTGTGTGTGCGAGAGAGATTGACTTGTTCATTGATAAAAATAGAGGATTAAAGTGATCCACTACACTGTGTTTGAGTTAATTTGTGACTTTATATATTTATTTTATGAAATTGGGCACACCTATGTTTGGCATGTCTATGTTAATAATTATAACATCCTTCCTTAACCTGTATGCAGTGACCATCTCTTCTGACAAGCTTTGTTTTTGAGTCTGTTTTGTCAGGTATTACAACAGTTAACACCCGCTTATTACTTGGAAACCTTTTCCATCCTTCCACCATGACATAGCATCTACCTTTTATGGTAAGGTGTTGGTGTGCTTTTTAAAAACTTTTATTTACAAAATAAAATTAAAAAAAAAAAAACCTTTTATTTACATTTCTTATATCTCTTTCTCCCTACTACACCCCAATCCCTTCCAACACCCCAAAACCAGGTAGGAGAGAGAGAGAGAGAAAGGGTTAGTGGGAGAGAGAGGGACTCCGTTCTCTGAGCTGCTTCCTGCTGGTTAAGGTCATCAGGTTCCTTGGAGCCAGTCCAATTCTTGTTTCAGGAGATCTCTAACTTGTCTCACTGCAACAACAGCAAGAGAAGCCAAAGGGGGGAAGCAGCAGCCTTGTTCTTTCTTGAATCTACCACACACTCTGGGCTCTGGCATTTATTCTCTCTCCAGAGTCCTCAGATTTAAACTCTCTGCAGCTGGCAAAGAGCTTCTCTCAGAGCCCTCTTGAGGCATACAATTTGCTGCTGTGGACTCTGATCAGTCCCACATCCCACACCTGGGAATAAAAGAAAACCATGTATATATCCACAATAGTGAGGTATATTTATTTTGACTGACTTTGGTTTTAGGTTTGGGTTGTTGTTGGTTTGGTTTTGTTTTGACAGCTCGCAGTTTGTTTATTCAGCTAGCAGTCTAATTACACATGATCCAAGAACATTCAAATAAGAACTCAAGTAAAATTAGATTTTAAAGATTGGTCTTCAAACATCATAGCCAATGATGCCACATTTGCCTGTAATTTCTGATATGAAAGCACTTCTACATCTCAGTGTTCACCAAATTATTCAGCATGACATTTTTAACTGTGAGCTATTTCAGGCTGCCAGTTTCAAGCACTCTGAATTATTTTCACAATGAGTAGCTGTAGGGACTTCAGGGGCGGAGGGCAACCAGCTCAGCCTTGGCCTGGTGCCAGAAATGTGGTCACTTGAGACTGCAAGTAAGTCTTCTCAGTCTTCAAGGCACCAAGGCCTTCTCCACTCACTTACAGATGGACTTGACCATGGTCTGTGGTAAAAGCTATTTTAATTGGGGGGGGGGGTTATTTTGTTTTTTATTTGTCAATTTATGTTTATTTTGTTGTTGTTCTTGTTGTTTATTTTGAGACAGGGGTTCTCTGTGTAGCCTTTGCTGTCCTGACTTTTTAGACCAGGTTGGCCTTGAACTCAGAGATCCTCTGCCTCTGCCTCACAAGTGCTAGGATTAGAAGTGTGTGCCACCACTATCTTTAAGGCTTGTTGTCCTATTTCTGTCTTAATATTTTCATAATGTCTTATCTAATCTGGCTTCAAGGATGTATTTATTTTTCTCTTCAGTCTTAAAGGATTCCTTCTGGTATCTGACTTCAGGTTGGGTTTCTTCAGTGTTTCTGAAATTTCGCTTTCATAGCTTTTATTTTATTTCTTTCAGCCATGGTGTTCTCTTGGAATTTGTGTGATCTTTGTTTTCTGCATTCTTTTTTCTGAAATTCCATCTAAGCCACTCACTACAGGCCATCATTACAGGTTGATTTGGGAGGAGTAATGTTGCCCTGCTTTTTTAATACCACTTGTACTTTTGCCTATCTGGTCATTGGTTGAATTTTTCTTCTTTTTATCCTATCCTTGTTGTTTCAGAGTGTGTTTATTTTTGTAGGGTTGCAGTCTTGTTTTCCCAAGCTAGTCTGGTAGCCAGAACCCCAGCACAATCCCCAGTCTTAACCTTGCTATTAGAATACTGTCTGTAAAATTAATCACTATCAAAAAATAATTTACAATGAAAGTATACAGTAATGGCCAAATAAAAAATAATTATGCTTTTAAGTGCCAAGTACTACTTTAGGTAGAAAAGGATTACTTACAATACTCTATACATCTGATACATTCGTTACTTTGGGTGTAAATAGAAAGATGGGAAAAAATCTCAGAGTAACACTAGTGATTAATACTATGTTGACAGAAAAAGAATAGGCAGTGTATTTAGAAAAGGGAATGGGAGGGACAATGGAGGGTCAGAGAGGCTGAAGTCATACAGTCAAATGACATATGCCATTCCTAGCTCTTGGGGGTTGAGATACAGATATTCCTAAAACCTGGCCAGCAAAGAACAGAAAAGGAATGTTGGGGTGAAGAGATCCTAGTGGTGTAGAGTATAAGCGATTGAGTGTGTTTCTTGATTTCCTGTATTGTGCCTTGAGTGCCCCAGGTGGAACTGAGATAGATTTAAAACAAAATTTTGTTTGTTTTCATCTTAGAAAGACTTGGACTACACTTTTCTCTTTTCATCAATTATCTAACTGTTCTTCCTTTTGGCTTTCTACTTGTTTCAATTTGGAAAGGACTATCTTATTATTAAGACAAAAGGAGCATCTAGAGAGATGGTTCAGCAGTTATGAGCTCTTACAGAAGACCTGGGTTAATTATTAAATGTTTATAAATTAATTCATTATTAAATTAATTGAAAATTATTCCTCACAGAATTTCTTAGTGTATGGAGAAGCAATTTTAATAAGTAAAAATTTTAGGAATTATTAAATTTTATTTAATTTAGAAATTATTGATCCAGGTGTGATGGCAGATGCACACCTTTAATCCCAGCACTGGGGAGGCAGAGGATCTCTGAGTGTGAGGCCAGCCTGGTCTACAGAGTGAGTCCAGGACAGCCAGGGCTACACGGAGAAACCCTGTCTCGAAAAAGTAGTAAAGAAAGAGAAAAAGAAAAGGTTTTTTAATGTTATGAGTGTTTTGCCTGCATGACTGTAAAAGAGAGAGTCAGATCCCCTGAAACTGGAGTTGCAGGTGGTTGTGAGCCACCGTGTAGGAAGTGGGAACTGAGCCTGGGTCCTCTGAGAGAGCTCATAACTGCTGAAATAACTTACTAGTCCACAGCACAATTCATTAGTCCCTTAAGCACCTTATAAATTGAAGACATTATAAAGATGTCCTGTCTTCAGCTGGAGCTTTATCAAATAAGCAGCTAGGAAAACAGAGGAATTTTGGGGGCAGGACCAGTGGGAACTACCCTTGTTCCTTCATCACAAGCAAATGAATAAAGCTCAGAATTGGTTGTAAGTTAAGGTGGCATCAGTGAGGGGTAAGGGAGCCTGGGCAAGTTATATAATGACAAAAGAACAGAATCATTGGTGCTGAAGGGGGCTAAAGGATGAACTCGGAATTGTTTGAAGGACAAAGCTTGTATTGGTTGGAATGCTTCTCTGCTGTGAAGGTCAGTGTTCTGGGAATTCAAGTACCAGCCATTTGGGGCATGCCCAGTGCAAGCTAATGGTCATAATGAGTTTACATTGTCAAAAAAACACAGAAGTTTGATTCATAATTTGTAATGTCATTTTAGTTCCTGTGACCTAAAGTACACAGAAGGAGTTCAGTCCCTCAACTGGACTAAAATCATGAAGACCATTGTTGATGACCCCGAGGGCTTCTTTGAACAAGGTGGCTGGTCTTTCCTGGAACCTGAGGGTGAGGTGCGTGAGTGTGGGGTTTCATTTATTTATGTATGCAGTGTTGCCTAATGTCATTTAGGTACTTAAAAAGAATGACATCTATGTATAGTATATAAAGGACCTGACCAATGTAGAGAAGCTAAAAACATAACTTGATGTTATTATTTCTTTAGGTTAGTTTTATAGGTAAATGATGGATTTATTGTGTATTGGTAATCACCGCCCACATTACTCCTGGAGTTTCTTAGTGTTTTGAGATGATGGGATTAAAGCTTATTCCAAAAAGTAATTTTAAAACTGCAGAGGAACTGGGTTGAATTCCTAGCACCCACATGCCAGCTCACAACCACCTCACTCCAGTTGCAGAGGATTGGAGCCCTCTTCTGTCACCCACAGCACTGTCACACATAGTGCCGAGACGGGCAGAAAGGAAGGAGCCATTGGGGGCTAGAGAGATGGGGCAGCAGTTCCGAGCACTGACTGCTCCTTCCAGAGGACCTGAGTTAGTTCCCAGCACCCTCATGGCAGCTCACAGCTGTCTGTAACTACAGGATCCAGTACTCGCATACAGACATACATGTAGGCAAAACATCAGTGCACATGATATAAAAATAAATTTAAAACAGAAATGAACCTTAATAAAAAGTCACCAGACAGTGATGCATACCTTTAATTTCATCATTCAGAAGGCAGGTGCCGGCAGATCTCTGTGAGTTCAAGACCAACCTGATCTATATAGCCAGTGCCAGGCCAGGATTACACAGTGAGACACTGTCTAAAAGTTTTAAAACTTGTTCTAGGGGCTGGAGAGGCTCAGAGGTTAAGAACACTGGCCACTCTTCCAAAGGTCCTGAGTTCAATTCCTGTCAACCACATGGTGGCTCATAAATAGTAAATAAATAAATCCTCTTTTTTTTCTTTTTTTTTTTTTTTTTTAAGAACTCCCACCTGGACATATTACATTAATACAAAGTGTGTTTCTGTCATTAAGACAGACAAAAAGAGGTGAATTGGCTCTTCCAGAATCTAATGAAGTGTGCCTTACATATTTTTTTAAGACAAGCTCTTTATCTCTTGATCATTCAGCTTTCTTAGTTTTGTTTTTATATATGAAATGCTAGTTACCGAGTACATTGAATTAGTTAATAAGGTGAATCTGAACAAAATAGTAAATGGGTCTTATGCTTTCTGTACTTCATCAGGGGAGTGATGCTGAGGAAGGGGATTCCGAGTCTGAAATTGAAGATGAGACTTTTAATCCTTCTGAGGATGACTATGAAGAGGAAGAAGAGGACAGTGATGAAGACTATTCGTCAGAAGCCGAAGAATCAGGTTAGAGAATATTGGTTGAACTGGAGAAATGGCTTAGTGTGTGCAGCAGCACTTGCCGTTATGATCCTGAGCTTGGATTTCCTGCATGTATGTAAAAAACCAGCCAAGCACACTTATAACAGCACTAGGGAATGGCAAAGTTGGAGCAAAGACAGGAGGACCATGGAGATTTGCAAGCCACCAGCCTAGGAAAGAAAAAAAAAAATCAAGAGCTTCCGGCTCACTAAGAGGCCCTGTTTGAAAGGAATAAGGTCAAAGGCAAGGCATCAAACATCTTCCGGTCTCCACGTTCTCAGGCCAGGGCCCCATAAAAAATAATCTTAAAGGAGAAAACACTTACAATGGCTTACTAATCTGATATCATTCCTAGAGACTACTTTCTAAAAAGGAAAATATTCTACATTCTATTGTATTTATGAATGATTACTATATAATCAATATTTTTTTTCCAGACTATTCCAAGGAATCTCTGGGCAGTGAAGAAGAAAGCGGAAAGGACTGGGATGAGCTAGAAGAAGAAGCTCGGAAAGGTTATTTTTAAAATGTGTTGTTTTGCATAACTTATTTATTCATTCATTCATGTGTGAATTTCTAATGTTGTTTTAAGGTGTTGATGCTAGAAGCTAAGAAGAATTGGAAAAGAACACTATAAAAATGTTTGGGCAGGAAGTTGGGAGATAGCTCAATTGGTAAAATGATTGCCATTCAAGCTTAAGAATCTCAGTTTGGGGGACTGGAGAGATGGCCCAGAGGTTAAGAGCACTGGCTACTCTTCCAGAGGTCTTGAGGTTAATTCCCAGCAACTACATGGTGGCTCACAACCGTCTATAATGAGATCTGGTATCCTCTTCTGGCATGCAAGCAGAGCACTGTATGCTAATAAATAAATAAATTTAAAAAATAAAAATAAAAAAGAACCTCAGTTTGGATCCCTAGAACCCTCACATAAAAACTGGGCACAGCATTTCGTGCCTGTAATTCCATTGCCAGGGAGCCAAAGATTGGAGGATGCCTGGGGATTATTGGATGGCATTCTAACCACGTTAGTGCGCTCCAAGTTTAGTGCCAGACCCTTCTCTTAAGGTGGGGAGCAGTTGAGGAAGACAGTTGATTTCAACCTCTCCCCCCCTTCTCCCAACACATACACACACAATACATATACGAAAAACAAAAGCTAAGTCATGGGTACGACTTGACAAGAGAAGAAGTAAGATCTAGAATGTGCCCGTTTAGGCTATAGGTAGGCTTGATTCCATCTCTTCAAGCCTTTGATATGCACAGAAGTGTGATTACCCATAGTCAGAAAGCTCCAGGTAGGAATATTATGTAGTGTTGTGTTGGTGTCATTACTCTAAAGCCAAACCCAAAATAGAAATTGTTAAAAATTAAAATGAAGGTGTTCGTGCCTCTGTTCCTACCATTTGTGGTAAGTGCTTTGGGCAGGTAGCCTTTTAATCCTTGTAAGCTCAGGATCAGAAAGATTAAGCACTTGTCTAGGTCATCAAGCAACTAGTAACTCACTAGAGATTAACATTTGACATATTGCTCGTGCTATTCATTAACAGTAGGTATCTTAAGCTAATGAATCACTTTGCCTTCTGCTTAGCGGACCGTGAAAGCCGTTATGAGGAGGAAGAAGAACAGAGTCGAAGTATGAGCCGGAAGAGGAAGGCATCTGTACATAGTTCAGGCCGTGGCTCTAACCGTGGTTCCAGACACAGCTCTGCACCCCCCAAGAAGAAGAGAAAGTAGTATGAACTTTGGGTCCTATGCTCCATTCTCTCTGCAGACAACTCCTAAAAATGAGATGACATAGAAACTGTTTTTCTTTTGGTTTCATTGAAGTTTTGCCATTTGTGTTTGGGTTTAGGGGCCATTTGTGCGGACCAAGCTACTCGGGGAATTCCAGGTCCACCAGGACATGTGCCAGTGGCCCCGTTCAGATGGCTGGCAAGGGAAGCAGTGTTGAAGGGCAGGAGGCTCCTCCTACTGTTGATAGCAATTGTTCTTTTCTTCTGACAACCTATCTTTGGTGTCTCAACGCTGAATTACCAAGACAGTGGTATAAGCTGACCATTAACTATTTCTACTATGATTCTTTTTTCTTTATTTTTTTTTTCTGGCTTTTTGAAACAGTCTCGCTTTGCAGCCATAGCTGACCTTGTAAACCAGGCTGGCCTCAGACTCGTGATCCTCTTGCTCCGCCTCCCTAGTACTGGGATTACAGGCCTGAGCCACTGAACAAGCATGGTTCTGGCCCTCGGGCTCAGTCCTTCCGTCCCTTTAAGTTTCAGATCTGAAGTTCTTAAGAAAGGTTCTTGGGCTTTGCTGATGATTATGATATACACAGCTGAGCTGAAAGCAGAGTAGACCAGTGCCTGGTCTTATGTGTTTCTGGTTTCTTGCCTCATGCACATTCTGGGACGTTTCTGTAGCCTTGGAAGACATAAGCACTGGCACTCCATGCTGGATTTTTTTCTCTTTACAGGTCCATATGTGGTAAGTGCTAGAAGGTAAAACTACCACTGTCTCTTCTGATACTCTAAGGAAGCATAGTTATGCCTTGTACACTGCAGGTGACATCTAGAGGGAGACTAAAAGGAATCAGCACAGATCTGAAAGAATAGGTCATGTCTTGGGCTACAATATCTTAATAAGAGAAGCTGGAAGAAGGCCACAACCACAAGGCTGGGCTCTGCTGCTCCTCCCTTTACTTTCTCTGCAGTGTCTTGTGTTGGTCATCTCCGACGGTCAGCTTTGAAGTACTGGGGGACTTTTATCTTGCGTCCTCCCTGCAGGCCCTCTGCATCCACCTGTTCTACTTTGCCTCCTCTGTTCTGTGACTTTAAGAGAAGGGGCTTCTCAGATTTTATGTTTGTTTGTTATTTTCTCCTTAGCAGTAGGACTTGATATTTTGAATTTTGGAAGAACTAAAAGATAATAAACTGGGATTTTTTTTTGTTTTGTTTTTTGTAAATTTGTTTTATGACCATTTCTTTGCAGTTTCTGAAATCAAGTCTTGCCTACTAAAATGTTAAGTTATAAGAAAATGCCTTTTCCACAAAAGTTCACTGAAGGTTGTAAGCCTCACCATTAGTTTGAGAAACAGATAGCAGATAGCACAGGAGACTAGATTCATGGCATAGCATGTTACTTTATAAGACACTTTGACTGACTCCCTCAAATTGTAGAGTGGAGTAGAACTTGTTTTTTTTCATGAAAACCCATCTTCAGTCATTTCCTTGTAAATGCCATGAAGGGCAGAAGCTGCTCTGAGGGAAACCTTCAGCCTTCCAATTTTGATGGCCTGGTTTCTGGGACTCACAACTGTGGAGAAGGGTAAAGATGGTTAGACACCAACAGTGTTCTGTTTACTCACATATGTTTGTTTGTTTGTTACTGGAGTGGCCCATAACTTACTGTACTGACCAGGCTGGCCTCCCTGAACTCACAGAGATCCTACCTCTATTTCCCAAGTTCTGGGATTAAAGGAATATGCCTGCTCCGCCTGGCTAGTTATATACTTGAATGCCTGGTGTTTGTCATATTGGAGTTACTACCTCATTTCATAGGAAAGTGAAACCAATGTACACACATGAAGAAAATGTTAAAGTACTTTGGAGACGTAAGGAGCACATAAGCCAGAATAGAGGAGAGTTAAGGATTTTAGGAATAGCCAAGTGGCTCAGTGGGTGAAGACACTTGCTGACAAATTCAGTTTAGCCCCCAGAACCTACACAATGGAAGGCAAGAAACTGACTTTTACACATATGCACACATACTTAAACGTTTTTAAAAGATAGATAGCTCCACACTTCTGGGGACCGTGCCCTAGACATGTTCCAGAATGAAATGCATATAGCTGTAGGAGAAAGACTTCAAAAGCATGTGCTCATCAGCTTCACAGATAATTATGTCAGTGGGCTAACAGAAGTTACACGTGAGTGGGTTATTTTCTCTATGAGTAAGTAGAACTAAGAAGTATAAAACTTTATTACTCACTCTCAAGTTCTTCCTCTAGGATATCTCTTCCAGATTGAAATATCTGCCACAGTTCAAGGTATGCATACCCTACATCTTGACATTCTTTCTTTTCTTCATCCCCAGGATCACTGACCACTGTAATCTTTAAACTGAGAACAAAAAAAAAAGTCATTTAACGGAGCATTGCTTACTTAGGTCCTTACCTTTTCAAACTAAAATACTGTTGAAAGTTATGTGCACCTGTAATCCCAGAACTAGGGAGGTAGAAGCAGATAGGTCTCTTGAGATTGAGGCCAGCCTGATCTGCATACAGAGTTCGAGTCAGGCAAGGCTATACAGTAAGGACCCCCTCCCCACTCTGAAAAGTAATCATGGAGTTTGGAGAGATGGCTGAAGGATTAAGAGCACTGGCTACTCTTCCATAGGACCTGAGTATCCCACCTGATGGTTCATGACTATCTATAACTCCAGTTCCAGCAGATCAGACTGTCTCTGTGGACACTCCACACAGACATACATACACCAATACACATAACAGTTAAAAATAAAAAAAAAACATTCTTTTGGAAAGTAATCACGAATAAGAAAAGAAACTGACTTTTACACATATGCACACATACTTAAATGTTTTTAAAAGATAGATAGCTCCACACTTCTGGGGATCGTGCCCTAGACATGTTCCAGAATGAAATGCATATAGCTGTAGGAGAAAGACTTCAAAAGCATGTGCTCATCAGCTTCACATGAATCTGAAACCCTGCCCCCTCCACTTTCTAAAGTGATAAGAGCCAAAAGGCAGAACTAAGTTTTGAGAAGGCTTAGTATCCACAGAAGTTGGAGGACAACTTATGGGAGTTGGTTCTCTCCTTCCATCTATGTGTCCTGGGGATTGAATTCAAGTCCTGAGACTTGGAAGCAAGCACTTTTAACCGCTAGTCTCTCTCAACCTCACCCTCTTTGAAACAGTCTCATATAGCCCAGACTGGCTTGCAACTCCCTACATAGCTATCTAAGGCTGGCCTCCTGCCTCCACCTCCCAGGTACTATGATTAGGTGCCACTTCTCTCCTGGCTCTTATATTAATCTTTGAAAACCAAATGTTGCTAATTGTGATGAGACAACAGGAATAGGGCTGAAAACTCAGCTCCAGACCTTCACTGAAAGGACAACATCCACTACCCGGAGCAGAGAGACTATGAGCCTCAGCACTCTGAGAAAGGATGTTAGATCCAGTCCCAAAGTCTACAGAAAGCCAGGTTACTGGCATGGGCTAGACAAGATCTTACAAGAGCATTCAAGCAACACTGCAAAAGCCACAAAGTGAGACTTGGAATTTCAAAACCAGCTCTGACAAGGTGCTGTCTACTCTACCAGTCTTATAAAAATACCACCAAAGGCTAAGACAACTGAAATCTATCATGACTTAGAAGAGGATTGCCTCTAGAAAAGAATAAATAAAAGCAATGTTTTTTTTTTTTAAGCCAAAGGAAACAAACAGATATGCAGACAAGACACCCATACATACAAGTTTTATAAAATGTGTGTGTGTTATCTGTGTACAACATTCATGCCTGTGCCTGCAGAGGCTGGAAGAGGGCATTGGAACCCCTGGAACTGGAGTTCTAGATGGTGGTGAGCTGCCATTGAGTCAAACTAGGGTCCTCTGGAAGGGCAGCTAGTTCTTTTAAGTGAAATATGAGATTGATCTTACAATGGATTGTATTGGTTTGCCGGCAGTACTTGTATATATCTGAGAAATTAGCTGAGTAGCCTTGGAAGGTCCAAATGTTCTGGCTGCCCCATGTAGGACAACTGTTAGGATTCAAGTCATTGCAGTCACCCACACACCAGTCCCTACCACAGATGAAACATGAATTAGCCCTAATGTAACTGGTTAGGCAGTCAAACACATGAAGTTGACTCAAGTAAATGGGAGATACAAGCACACAACTGAACTCAAAACTTTGTAACGCCCATCTGAATGCCTGCACTGTCCCCGCTATGAAAAGCAGAGACTCACCGCCCCTCCTCAGGATCTTGAGCATTCAGCATGGCGAACAAAAACTGCCTTCGGCCTCGCTGCTTCACTGGGTCCAGGTCAATCACTGTATGAAAGGTAGAAAGGAAAGCTGTAGCTCAGTGGTACAGCGTTTGCCTAGTGTACAAGAGGTGCAGTCCTCAGTGTTTCCAGGAAACAAACTACTGTTGCTGTTTGTATACAGGACTCTCATGACTGATATATCCAACAGTGACACAGAAGTAGACATCGGCAAAGCAGGCCTACTAGCTGGCTCCCTGTTTCATAAGGTTTTATTGAAAGCGGGTCATAGTGGCTCACGCCTGTAATCCCAGTACTTAGGAAGCAGAGGCAGGCAGATCTGGTGAGTTTGAAGACAGCCTGGTCTACAAAGTGAGTCCAAGGCTGCAAAGAAAAACCCTTTCTCAAAAAGCTAATAAATAATATGAATGAAATTTTAAACAGAAAATAGCTAAAATTAATTATGCTTATACTATCTGTGGCTGTCTGCCGTGTGTGTGTGTGTGTATGTGTAGATTTCAAGTATCAATGAAATAGGGGAGAAAAATATTTCATACTTGACTTTCTGCAAAAATACTTAGTTACTTCCAAATTTGCTTTCTAAAAAAGCTACTGAAAACATCGATTAAAATAAGCCAGGCGTGGTGGCATATGCCTTTAATCCCAGCACTCTATAGAGGCAGAGGCAGGCAGTAGATGTCAAGGGAAGTGAAGGTACTTTGCACTGAGATAATATTTAAATATTTTAGAATAACAATAAGCATTGGAATAATTATGACCCAGTTGTATGGGAGTGAAGTGACATGAATGTAGAGTAAGATAGCTTAAAAGTTTTATCCAAGATAGGAATATCTACAATTAGTAAGTCACAGAATTATAATAGAAACATTATTTAGATATATAAGTAAATTTTAAAACTAGCTGAAAAGTTAAGCCACTACAGAGCGTTTAATCATGGGGACAGTGATTTGTAGAAAAATGGAACAAATGACTGCTTAATTAAGATCTGTTTTTCAGGCTTACTTGATATTTTTAAACCATATGCATATACTACTTAGTTAACTAGAACTAGAGGAAATGGTTGGATTCACTTCCATCGGAAACCCAGAGTAGACCTGGTCCCGTCTAGAGTCTGCTTGCCTTCCCTGCCCACTCACCATGCAGGACAGCTCACCCTTGCTAAAGTGGAAGTGGATTTCTTCGCCTGCCCTCGGTTTCCTCAGGGACATTGGAGTCTCTGTCTCTGAGAGAGGCAGATCATAGAATTGGAACTCCACGTACACCTGCTGGATATTCTCATCAGATAGGACTTCAGCCTCAGGGCAGAAGGCCAGGGAGATGATTTCGATGCACATCTTCTCCGAATCCTGCAATGGAAACACTGATTTCCTAAAGGCAAATGAGGCTGCAGTGTTAACACTGTCTAGAAATTCATCTTGGCACACTCCAGTAAATTATGTACTGACAATTCCCGGGCAAGCCAGGGACCAACAGACAATTTGACTGAACTGCTGCAGAGTCACTGGGAAATCTAAGAAGAATCTGATCGATCTCCTAATAAGTCGTCATTCTGAGCCAGCCTTTCCTGGCTACCTCCAGGCTTACTGGGAAAGCTGAGGCATGAAGATCCTGAGTTCAAGACTAGCGTGGGCCAGACAGACAGGTTTTGGTTTTGGCTGATTGGGTTTGGGTTTGTTTTTTGTTTTGTTTTTTTGTTTTGTTTTGTTTTTTTTTTGTTTGTTTGTTTGTTTTTGTCATTGTTTTGTTTTTTGTTGTTGTTTTTGGCTTTTCGAGACAAGGTTTTTCTCTATTTGTACCCTGGCTATTCTGGAACTAGCCCTGTAGATCAGGCTGGCTTCAAACTCACAGAGATCTGCATGCCCCTGCCTCCTGAGTTTTGGGAATAAAGGTGTGGGCCACCACAGGCAATCAGGCTGCTTCTTCAAAACCACTTATTTTTTGTTTTCTTTTCAATAGCCTACATGAGGAAACCATTGACTTTTTGTGGGGTTTTGCTTGTTTTTCACTAACACTTTTCAAAATGATAGCTTAGAGGAGTAAGGTGGCTCTGAAGTCAAGAGCACTGGCTGCTCTTCCAGAGGACCCAGGTTCAATTCCCAGTCTCCATGTGATGGCTCATAGCTGTTTGTAATGCCAGTTCCAGGGGATCTGACTCCCACTTCCTGCTTCCAGTGGCACCAGGCACATATGTGCACAGACATATATGCAGGCAAAACACCCTTTACATATAAATAAAGACAGGGCTGGAGAGATGGCTCAGAGGTTAAGAGTACTAGCTGCTTCTTCTGGAAGTCCTGAGTTCAATTCCCAGCAACCATATGGTGGCTCACAACCATTTATAATGAGGTCTGGTGCCCACTTCTGGTGTTCGGGTATACACGCAGACAGAACATTGTGTACATAATTTAAAAAAAAAAAAAAAAAAACATAATGAAATGCAATAGAGCAGACACAACAGAAGAGAACATGGTTATTGACATCAACCTGAATCCCACTCTTGGGTTTTTCAGGCAGGTCCCTGCCCTGAGAGACTACACTTTGAGCTTGAAGGACGACTGTGTAGCTGGGTGAACATACGACTGGCACCATCTGTCCAGTACTACCCACGTGGCACAGGCTGATGAGGAATTATTCCTGGGCATAGAAGGGAAGGCACCTTGTAAATTTGTCAAGGCAAATTGAGTCTGTAGGAACACACGGACATATTAAAAGCATATAATGAAACCCAGACTGAGGACTTACCAGAAATGTCAGACCGAGGAAAAGTAACTCTCATCTGAGCCCCATAGAGGAAGGACAATCCCACCTGTCACTAACAGTGTGATGTAAATGTCAGGGGATTGGCAATCAAAGAATTCGCAACAGTTCCAAGGACTTCAGCTTGGCTGAGTCCCTGCTCTCTGAGGCAGCCAAATACTTCAATTGCTGTCAACCTGTCTGGTTCACCATCTGACTGCCACCTACCCTCCTGTCATTCACCTCACTCCTGCAGCTTGGCTCCACAGTGCAGCCTGGTTCTACAACAGCAGCCACAGCACAGGTCCAAAAACCCCTAGCAGGTTTGCCATCTTATGGCTGTAAAGGCTTTATTTGCAGCTGAAACCTCTTGCATGTTTCTGTGGCCTCTCAACCCGTTACAGTCTTTAAAGCAACATGCAATGTGTGATTTGAGAGTTAATAGCAATAATCAATACTGGAATAAAGGAACCTATACTCTAAGGTGATGGTGGCACACACCTTTAATCCCAGCACTTGGGAGGCAGAGACAGGTGGATTTCTATGAATTCCGGGCCAGCCTGGTCTACAGAGCAAGTTCCAGGATAGGCAGGACTACTCAGAAATTCTGTTTCAAAAACCCAACAAAAGAAAAAGAACCTATGCTGTCCCCCACAAGGCTATCAAGGAAAGCAAGAGTGCCAGGTAAATTGCTTCTGTTGAAACTGATGACCCTGCTGTTCACCTGAATGTTGGTGAATGTTCACCTGAAAAATGGCCTCAGCTTAGCTGGGTATGACCAAGTCCACAGTGAAGGATGTGAGTGGCCAGGGATCCAAATAGGAAAGAGAAGGGCTGAACTCAGTTGTCATTTACATCAGACTAAGGAAACACTTTCACTGCTGTAGCAACAGATTTCTGTTGACATTGATAGACTTTTCACCTAACTTGCATTTCTCAACAGGCTTCTTGAACCTGGATTTGACCCTCACGTGTGTATCCACTAAGCTTTTCTAACAAGTAATTGCTGCGACAGTTACTTACGGCTTTAGGACCCATCTTAGATTGGGGTGTCACTATGACTTCGTCACTGTCGGTAGTTTGTCCTTCGCTGACTTCAGAGGCTTGGTCACTGGATTCTTCCTCTGCTAAAGAAGAGGCTGGAATACAGAATGTTTTCAGTACATTGTCTCCTCTCCACGCAAAGAGCCAGTGCCCACAGCAGTGCAACTGTCAGATCATTTCTACTTCAGAATCGAACGCTGTGTTCCGAAGTCTGTCATCACAAGGTACATTGCAGGGGTGGGAAGAGAAGGATGAACAGGAAAAAAAAGGAGAGACAAAGACAATGGAGGGAACAGGAGAGAAGGAGACGGAAGGAAAAGGGAAAGTATGGGCTGGAGAGATGGACAGTTAAGAACACTGGGCTCCTCTTCCAGAGGACCTGAGTTCACTTCCTGGCACTGACAGGGCAGCTGTCAGCCCTTTGTAACTCCAACTCTAGGGGGGAAACTAACACCCTGTTCTGATTTTTGTGGGCACCAAGTGTCCTGCGGTATACGTGTCATGTGGCACATAGACTTACATGCAAGACTAAATGTGCGTACACATAAAATCTAAGAAAGTAAACATTGATAAAAAACTAAAGAAAGTAGGCAGGCAGGCTGATCTCTCCAGGGACTTGAAGAAGACAGCCACACTGTTGGAAAGCAAGCAGTCCAACAGTATGTGGTAGTGGTGGGCACATCCCCAAGACCTCCCCAAACTCTTCCCATCCTGGGCTGCTCTCCCCACGTGGCCACCACACCCTTCTGGGGGAGCAGTGGAGTGCACATGCCCTTCTGCTGAGGTAAATCTTGGTGACTTCTTCAACTACAAATGTAGTAGAAAGACATGGTGGCATGTGACTATAATCCCAGCCCTTCGGAGGTGAAAGCAGGAAAAACCAGGAGTTCAAGGTTACCCTCAGCTACATAGCAAGTTCAAGGCCAGTGTGGGCTATCTGGGGCCCTCTCTTTTTAAAATGTTTATGTGGTGGTTCATGTTACTTCTCAACTGACAGAATCTTGAATCACCTGAGAGATGGACATCTGGCCTTATCAGGGGGATTATCCTGATTAATTGATGTAGAAAGTCTTCTCCTGTCCCTGACCTGGTTTTTTGGTTTGCTTGCTTGCTTGCTTGCTTGCTTGTTTTTTGAGACAGGCTCTCACTATGTAACCTGGCTGGCCTGGAACTCATCATATAGACCAGGCCAGACTAGAACTCATAGAAAGCCAGTGGCCTTTTCCTTCCCAGTGTAAGTGTGGATATTAAAGGTATGCAACATCAAGTCCATCCTGGGGGAAATTTTATGTTTAGTGTGGATGGTGCCTTTCCCCGAGCTGTGGAATCCCACTTTGAAAAGTTAGCCTTGATAACTTTTTTTGTTTTTGAAGATAGTAGCTCTGGCTGTCCTGGAACTCACTCTGCATGCTGGCCTCGAACTCACAGAGATCCAACCTGCCTCTGCCTCCTGAGTGCTGGGATTGAAGGTGTGCACTGCCACACCCAGCCTCTCATAACTTTTTTAAAGAGATTTATTTATGTATTAGAAGTTGGTTCTCTGCTTCCATCTTGTTTTTGAGACAGGGTCTCATACAAGAACCTCCAACTTTTTTTTTTTGTCTCTGCCTCCCATCTCACTGTAGGGCACTAGAACTGCAGAGGTGAGGCACTGCATCAGGCTTTTACGTGGGTTCTAGGGATCAAACTCAGGTCGTCAGGTTAGTAGGCAAGTGATTTTACCTGCCAAATCATCTCAATTACACAATTGGCTTCCTGAAAATCTTTCTGGTTTTCATTGTATAGATCTCAGATGTCTTTCTTTTTTGTTGTTGTTGTTGTTTTTTGTTCTTGGTTTTTCGAGACAGGGTTTCTCTGTGTAGCCTTGGCTGTCCTGGACTCGGTTGACCAGTCTGGCCTCACAGAGATCCACCTGCTTCTGCCTCCCTGAGAGCTGGGATTAAAGGTGTGTGCCAGCATTCTTAGATTTTGTCAAATTTACTCCTCTGTATTTCATTCTTCCTTATGATACTGTGAAAGGAGTTGTCTTCTGGATTTCATCTTGGATACTTTATTGTTAATGTATGTAAATATGGTTGATTTTGGTGAATCAGTCTTATGCTGAGCTATCTCTCCAGCTACCCCTTTTGTAGAATTTTTTTTGGGGAGGGGGTTGGGTTTTGTTTTGGTTTTTTTTTTTTTGTTTTGTTTTGTTTTGTTTTTTTTTTGAGACAGGGTTTCTTGGCTATCCTGGAACTAGCTCTGTAGACCAGTCTGGCCTCAAACTCACAGAGATCCACTTGCCTCTGCCTCCTGAGTGCTGGGATTAAAAGTGTGTGCCACCACCGCCAGCTATGAATTTGTTTTTAATGATTTCTTAGAAACATGATTTTTTTCAATTGCAAATAAGGATAGGACTACTTGCTTTCCAACCTGTGTAATTTTTACTTCTTTTTCTCCTCTTGGTTTCACTGGTTAGAATAAAAAAAATTTTTTGCATACATAAAATACAAGTAACAAATGTTATTATTTTATGCATGTGGATGTAAGCCTGCGTATCTGTCCGCATATCATGAGAATGCCTGATATCCACAGAGGCCAGAAAAGAGTGTGCCATTCTCTGAAACTGAAGTTCCAAAGGGATGTGAGCCACATTGTGGGTGCTAAGAATCAAATCAGGGTCCTATGGGAGAGCAGCCAATGCTTTTAACTATGAGCCATCTCTCCCGCTCAGCCTTACTCTATGTTTAAAAAAAAAAAAACAAAAAACTTGACTTCACAAGTGAGCCAATAATGCCCTCCTATTTCTTTGCAAACATTATTTACAAAGTAACCTTAACATACTACAAATTGTAGCTGGCTTGCTAGCTAGTTATAAACATATAGGAAGGGAACTTTCTTTGAGAATTCAAGCCTTTATTGGCCTAAGTCTCACACTTATAAGAAAAACAGGAGCTTAAGCACTAATTTTTCACAAACTTTTTATCAGTGTGTGGTGGTTTGAATGAGAATGGCCCCCATAAGGCTCACTCATTTGAATGCTTGGTCCCCAGTTGGTGAAACTGTTGGGAAAAGATTAGGTGTGGCCTTGTTGGGGGACGTAGGCCACCGGGGACAACTTTGAGATTTCAAAAGATTCAGGCCATTCCCAGTATTTCTGCCTCATAGTTGTGTCTCAAGATATGAGATCTCAACTCCTTCTCAAGCACCATGTCTGCCTGCCTGATGCCATGCTCCCTGCTCTAATGGTCTTGGACTCAAACTGGAAGCCACAAATAAGACACTCATGGTGTTTTATCAAGCAATAGAAAACTACCCAAGACACTCTATAAGATTAAAAAAACAAACAAACACACACACACAAAAAAAAAAAAAAAAAAAACAAGTAAATAATTGGTGGCTCAATGGTTGAGAACTCATGTTCTCCTAGAGGACCTGAGTTCAGTTCCCAGCACCTTTGTCAGGAGGCTCACAACCAGCTGTAATTCCAGCTCCAGAGGATCCCATGTCTCTGGCCACCACAGACATCTACATTCAGGTTCCACACGCGTATATCCACATGCAGACACACACCCTGACACATAATTAAAAGTAATGAAAAATAATAAACATTACAAAAAGAAAGCAAATTCATGATGAAATACAGAGTAGACCTTAGAAAGACAATACCATTTACAGATTGTGAGGGATCCTCCTGTCTTGATGCTGAACGTGATGGTGGTGTTTCCTCTTTCTTGTCCTGAACTTTCAAACAACCATCCTTAGGCAGCTTGGGCCCTGAGAACTTCTGATCAGTGTAGTGCACCTGCTTCAGAGCAAGGACAAGGACACTGTGTGAGTGGTGAGCTCTCACACTTCCTTCTTAAAGCTAGCCTGTGTGAACTTTAGAAATTCAGTCCCTTTTAAAGAAATGCATAGCATGTGTGTTATTAATGGTCTAAGCCTCAGTTATTGTGTGCATCACATTAATGTGCTGAGTTAAATTGCGCTGATAGGAGACAATCAGCTGGGGCTTTAGAAATGTGTGTGGAAGTAGCTTGGAGGCACTGTGGCCTCCCTTGCCTTCACTGTTCCTCCCCTCTGATGCCCGCATACACTCTGCTCTCCAGGGTCTCTCAGATCTCACCTGTAGTGTGTTCCCGCTCATGATGTGATGGCTCAGATATTCCATTCGGTTCTTGCCTTGGACACCTGTTCTTTTGCTGTGTTTTCTTCTTGAGTAGCTTACAACCTTATGTTCTTTGGGCTTCTTTACTGCCGCTGCAGATTTTCTCTTCACTTGACTCTGGCCAGACTCAGTGGGGGGCTCTGTAGATGCTAACTGGTCCTGGATCTGAGACAGACAGCCTTAAACAATGACAGCTCAACATGTGGTTTTCCTTCTCTCCTGCTCTTGTTCCTCTACACAGTAAAAGCCAAGCATCTGCTTCATCAGGAGTTTCTAGATTATCTCATGACACCTGTCACTCCTGGGAGAAGTTTACTCCAGCCCTGAGACCATCCTCTCTAATTGGCTTCATAGGATGTGTAAAGGTCTGCTGCCCAGGGAGTCCTGAAGATTTACCTGGAGAAGAAAAGGGCCCAGTTCTTCCGTGAATGAGGCTTCCAAGCTGTCTTTGTTTTCCTTCCCCTCCATCTCAGGTTCTGGCATCAGGGAGTCCTCTGGGGGCATGTATTGAGACTTCCAGTGTAGTTGCACATCAATGGATCCACTGGAGTTGTCCGAAGAGTCCATGAGGTTAAAATCACCTAAGAGACACAGAGAAACCGGTCAAGCCTGGTCTCATGAGACAGGCTACCGAGTGTTCACGAGCATCGTTTCTGCTTCTCCCCATTTAAAATTCCATGGTCTCTGTTAGTAATTACCATACATCAAAATTCATAGCATTAGAAAATTAACATCAAACATCAGTATACTGAGATTACCATAGGGGAAGACAGGCATTTCCCAGTTTTAGGAAGAGACGATGAAAAGGTACATGGAGGGGAGTGCAGCTTGCTTGTCATCAGTCATCCAGCTGGCAGCCATGACAACATCACCTTTACTGTCACTAAATACTACGCTGTGGCCATCCCCAGAATCCACCACTTAGGCAAGTGCTCCCAAGAAAACAAGCAAAGTGACATTTTCCTGAATGGCAGGAAATGACTTGTGTCCCTGATTAGCAGGTGGCTTGCCTCTCCTATCAGGAAGAAATGACAAATATTGTTTTTTAAAGAACTGTGATACTGGTCAGAGAGAGGCCTCACACACTTCTGAAAGTGCTTGGAATCTTGTTAAATATGGCTGACACTGCCTGTCCTGGCTATGCTGCTTGATAAAGAGCCTGGGACTCATTCCTCACTCTCTCCAGACAGAAGCCTTTGCTTCGTGTACCCCACAATCCCAGGTCAGCAAATATGGAAGCTAGAATAAAGCTCAGCTTCAGACCCCTGATGTCTGCCTCTGTCATCATCTGTCACCATCATCTCTGATGTCTTCAAAAGCAATGAGATCATGAGGGACTGGTAACTCAGATCTCTACTCATAAACTAAGAAACAACAGTCTTTAAACAAAGGCAAGTACTGGGAAGCATGGGAAAGACTTTTGTTGTTGTACAGTTTTGTTGTTGTTTTGTGAGACAAGGTCTTATAGCCCCGGGAACACACTTATGTAGACAAGGCTGTCTTCTGCCTCCCAAGTTTTAGGATTAAAGGCACAAACACAATAACAAGTCCCAGTCTAAATTAAGGTTTCAGAGATAAGAGGTATGGAATTCCGGCTGCAAGTTGAAACTCCTTGCGAATCTTGACTGTGCAGCTAAAAGGAGCTGAAGCCCACTGTTTTCACATGAGCAATGACATGTTTCAGCACTTGCCACATACATCTAGGGGCATGCATTCGATCTCCAGAACCCACGTAAAGATAGGAAGAGAGAACTGACTATAAAGTTGTCCTCTGACCTCCACATGTGTAAGGCGACGTGCTCAATCACAGACTCATGGCATGCATACACATTCATAATAACAATGATATTTTTTTTTAAATGAAAGACTGTTCCAAGCAAGTAAGTAAAGGAAAGCTGGGGAAGGACAGGAAGGTGACACTGGGGAGAAGGCCGAAAGGTGTAACGCCCACCTTTGATAGATTTGTTTTGTGCAAGAGGCAGCAAGGGCACGAGGGCTCGGCCAAGATAGGAGCCAGGGTCTGAGTCTTCATCATCAAAAACATATATAGACAGGGCCTCCTGCCTCAGATACTGGTCCAGGTCAGGCGTCACAAACACTGGGAACAGAGCCTGGTCTTTAAAGTATGGGTTGTTGCTGCCTGGAATGACGGTGGTGTCATGGTCAGGAAAGGTGAAGAAGCGATACATGACATATGGGCTGGGCTGAGCTCCCAGCCATCGACTCCGGAGGCCACAGCACCTGGTGATTTCAATCCGCAGCTCATTCCGAGGCATCCGGGTCTCGGATCTGGACTGGAAAGATGTTGATCTTGGACTAAGATAAAGGGCAGCCTGAGAAGTTGGTATAGGTAAAGCCCACTGAGTTGAGAAGAACCATGGCCTAGAAACCTACTCTGCCGGGTCATGAGACAGCCTGATGGCCATCGTCCACCTGCCCCTGGCTCTGGTAGCTGCTGGAGGAGTGCTCATCCTCAGGCTTACCCTACAGAATGATGGAGAATGGATCTAGCTTTGATCCCAGTTCCCACGTGGTAGGCGAAAAGAAACAACCCCTGCACGTTGTCCCTTGACCTCCACATGCATACCATGGCATGTACAAAAACAGTAAGTAAATAAGTTGATGTTAAATTCATTCATTTTAACTACTAGATTTTGTTTTGTAGAAAGCCAGTCAAAGTATAGCAGTGGGAATATTTGAACCAGTGCTTAGAGAGGAGGAAAACAAAAACAAAAACAGATGACCAAAATGGGAAGAACTCAGCTCAACAGGTATTCCCTGTGAGACAGTGTTGTGAGCTCTGACAGTATTGAGGCTATGGTTGGAGTGGAAAGACTATTTGAGAGTTAATGGCTCCCAAATTTCCAACTTTGGTGAAACGGACATGCAGGCGCAGGAAGCTCACCAAGCTTCTGAAAATGAGCACAGCAGGAGGGGATTGCCAGGCCGGGGAGCCGGAAACAGGGTGACAAGAGGGACTTGAGTAAGTAGTAAGTGTGGAGTGGGAGCTCTGGGGAGTGGGAATTGAATCTGAGTTTCCCTGCTGGGGAACTGCCGCAGACCTGCTCCAGCTAGCTCCAGCATGTGAAGGCATAGCCCCCACAGACCGCCTTCATTTCAGTGTCAGTCACAGGGTCACAGGGTATAATAAGAATTTCAGTTAAAAAAAAAAAAAAAAAAAGAGAGAGACCACGACAGAAAAGCTGATTAGTTCATAGCAAAGGAAAGTATCTGACTTGGGGTGTGATTTCATTTCTGCTCAAGTTTAACCACAGGAAGAATCTGGGCCGGCTTTGCTATACCGGTTTTTCATGTTCAGTGGATGCTCACAGGGAATGGGAGAGCAGGCCCTTTTTGAGGGTTGCCTGGCTGATATCCTTCTGAGATGCATAAGTACTTCTTTTTTTTTCTCACCTCATCTTTCGGGGCCTTCCAAGCTCCAAGCACATTGACTGACCGGTAGGCCTGGGCTTTCTTTCGCTTTTTGCATGCCTGGAGGCTGGATTTTAGAGGCAAGCACAGCCTCAGCCAGTACTTTAACACCCCCAAGTCTTCTCCACCAGCTCCTGAGCAGCAAAAGGTATGAAAAACATAGAAAACAGAGTGTGGTAAGAGTCAAGACTAGAACAGAAGCCTGGCTGGTGAAATGCCTGTGATTCTAGAACTTGAGAGGCTGAAGCAGGAAGGTTGCCATGAGTCCAGGGCCAGCCTGGGGGCAGAGGATGAAGAGGGGAGAAATACCAGAAAGCGGCTGTGGTATTTCTTGGCTATTCTTTTATTTCTCAAAGCTTCTAAACCTAAGAACTACAAGAAGCCACAAGCACTTACCAGTAAGTGTGGCCAAGCCATGGACTCTCTCCACAGTCTCTAACACCTTGTCAAGTGAAATCCATCCAGTGGCAAGGACATGATGCTCACTAGCCACAGCCTGATGGAGATCAAGCCGGACTGAAGTTCCCTGAAGGTAGCGCAAGAAGAGGGGATCTGACTGCACTACGTACTGAGAGGTGAAGTCATAGAGAGGCTGTGGACCCGTACAGAGCGGGGTGCAGTGAGTTTCAAAATCGTAGAAGGAATAAGTGCAGAAAGTGGTAGGTTGGGCATCTCCGGTCTGTACGAGGGCATCAGGTGTCAGGAAAGCCTGCTGGATGTGCAGTTCAAAAAGGTTCTCACTTGGGTGCAGCAAAGAAATGTCCACTTCATCCTCACCTCTGTGGGCTGGCAGTGATGATTGCAGGGTGCCGTAAGCAATGTCCTGGAGCTGCTCTACAGGGGAAAGAACACTGCCTAGCCATGAAAAGGTAGAGCGCTCATCTTTAGGACAAGACAAGGATAAATGGAAGGGAAATAAATCGTGGAAGTCCAAGCTAAGATTATTTCAAGAAACCACATAATCCAACCAGAAAAGCAGCACAATAACAGCCAGAAGCTTTGAATTCCTGAAGCCAAATGATCATTGCTTGCATCACAGGACAGGTAAAATGAGGGGCTGGGAAGTAAACTCTACCCTCAGGAGATGGGTGCCACCCTGCAGGCCACCCTGACTCACATCAAAGCCCTGCGGATCTGAGTTACTCTGAAGAGAAGCACTAGAAACAAGCTGTGCTTTCAAAAGACTGTTAGGTTGGCCTCAGAGGAAATGAGAGGTGATAGGCAGTGCCCGTCACGTCATCCCTGCTCCCTGGGAAGGCTGGCTGGGGCAGGCCAGCTCTGTTAAAAGAGGGTCCCCTTGCTTTCTGTTCAGACATTGGTTTCATGAGAGGTGAAGAAATCCACTTTGAATCAAAGGGTAATGAGAATAAAATGTGAGAAAGAAACCTTAGAGGAAAGAGGCTGAAAATACTGTCAGTGGGTGCAAGATGTGCAGACAGAACCAAATCTGCACGTTGTTCTCCAGGCCAACCAATCAGAAACCTTTTCAGATGTGCGCAACTCCACAGTGGGACCATCTGAGACCTTACAGTGTGTTGATGGTGAAGACCCTACTTCAAGAGTTAAATCCGGCCAGATGGTGGTGGCACATGCCTTTAATCCTAGTGCTCAGGAGGTAAACAGGTGGGTTTCTGTGAGTTCTAGACCAGCCTGATCTACAGAGAGCGTTCCAGGACAGACGAAGCTATGTGGAGAAACCCTGTCTTGAAAACAAACAGACGAGTGAAATCATAGAATAAAAGTGTTCTTGGCATATCAGAATGTTTTCCTTTATGTATTTTGTCTGGAGACATGACTCTGCAGATAAGAATATGCACTGCTCTTCCAGAGGACCTATGCTTGATTTCCGACATCTATTTCTGGTAGGTCACAACTGCCTGCAACTCCAGCTCCAGGGGTCCAACATCCTCTTCAAGCCTCTGTGGGCACTGCATACAAGTGCATCTATCTCCACAGATATACATGCATGTACTTAAATAAAGCTAAAAAGAAACGTTTTTTTAAAAAAAAAGCTGAAGAACTATTTATTTTTATTTTATGTGTATGGGTACGTTGCCAGCATATATACACATACCCTACATGCATGTGGTGCCCAGAAGGTCAGAAGAGGCTGATGGATCTTTCGAACTGGAGTTACAGACAGTTGTTAGTCTCCATGCCAGTCTGGGAACTGATGCCAGGCCCTCTGCAAGAGCAACAACTGCTCTTAACCCTGAGCCATCTCTTTAGCACCCACCAACGTCTTAATGTTTAAAGGTGAGCAGGGGAGAGGAGAGGCTGTTGAGATGGCATAGCAGATAAGTGTGTTTGCTTCCAAGTCTAAGGACCTGAGTTTGATTCTGTGGAGCCTACGTGCTGGAAGGAGAGAACCAATTCCTATAGGTTGTCCTCTAACCTCCATAAGTGCTCTCTCTCTCTCTCTCTCTCTCTCTCACACACACACACACACACACACACACACACACAAAGTAAATAAATGTTTTTAAAAAGAAAAAGAAGTGTGGTGGCGAATGTCTATACTCTCAGGTACTCAGGAAACAGGCTGGAGAATTGCCAGCTTGAGGCCAGCCTGGGTTCATAGCAAGAGTCTCAGAAAAAGGGTAGAGGCAGGCTCACTGTTTCACACCTATAATCCCAACACTTGGGAAACTGAGGCAAGTCGATCTCTGTGAGTTCAAGGCCAGCTTGATCTACACAGTGAGTTCCAGGACAGCCAAGGCTACATAGAGAGAGCCTTTCTCAATAAACAAATTAATTAATAAAAAAAATAAAAATATAATACAAGAAATTTAATACAGAAATCGACTAATTGATTTAACTTTTTTGTTATTGTTGTTTTGCTTTGTATTTGTTTGTGTTAGACAGGGTCTCACTGTGTTATCCAGGCTGACAAGTTTGCTATGTGTAAATGTTGTTTTTATTCCCTCAGATGAGGGGATAAGATGAGAGCCATACACAAGCTTTATGAATACTTGGCTTGGGCTAAGACCAGAATGTTTCTAGCTAATTATCCCTAGGCCTCTAGCCTAGGTAGCTAGCCTCCGTACAATCTAATCTTCTACAAGCCTGAATTTTGAAGACTTCAGCTTCCAGTCTCTGTCTGCTAAGCTAGGCCCAGAATGTTTTTAGCCTCAAGACTGAGACTTACTGTTGAATGAATTCATCCTTTCTAGCTCTTTTTAAACTCTGGATGTTCAACTCAGCTGTTCTGGCTCAAAACTCTTCTCCAAGCTGACTGATTCAAAGCTGGCTTCTCTCAGTTTCTTACTGTATTGCTCTGCTTGGAAAAACTGCCTTTGAACTCCACGAACTGAAATACACAAGCTCACCTATATTCAACTGAACTATACTCTCCTGATTGCACAAACTCTGCTGTGTCCCTGTGCTGTCCTCTACTCTCTCTCTACACTGTCTGTTCTCATGAGAGTTGGGCATATTCTATCACTGAATCATTCTGTCAAATCTTTCTCCGATTCATCACTTTGTTTCTCAACTAGACGTCATTGTTTGGGATTAAAAGTGTATTCTAAGAGTGTGTCTGTATTCCAGCCAGACCACACAGACCTAGGTCTTTGGACATGATTCCTTGCCACAATAGCCATGTTGCTGGTAAAAATTCCACTAAAGCTATGTAAACCAGGTTAGTCTTGAACTCATAGACATATACCTGCTTCTGCCTCCCCAAGTACTTGAATTAAAAACATGTGGCACCTCACTCAGCTAATTGATATTTTCTTCAGTTATAAGATTTTATAATGCTGGGCAGTGCATGAACTTGGGAGCAAAGGCAGACAGGTCTCCATGATGTCAAGGACAACCTGCTTTACAGAGTGAGTTCCAGGACCACCAGGGCTGCACAGAAAAATCTCCGTGTTGAAGAAAAAAAAAACAATAAATAAATAAATATTTTATATAACTAAAATATGTTCAAATTGACATTACAGGACACAAGGCTAATAGCCTTATCATATAAGGAAGTAGAAATCAGTAAGATACTATTAAATCGTGGACAGAAGGTAGGAATGAGCAATTCTCAAAAGAAATAACACAACTAAGCAGTGTATGTGGAAAAGCTGTTCAGCCTCAGCAGGAAGCACACAGCGAGTGAAAGCGAAGGAACCTAAGCCATGAGGATTCAATGCAAGGGAGGAGTGCCTTTTTATTTTGCTGCAGCCTTGCTAGACTCACTCACCCTGCTGTGGTAAGCCACACAGGGTAAGCCTCCCTGTGCTCAGGAGGGAGCCTGCTGGTCACTGACTCTCTTGCCAGAAAGGAGTATTCACTCCACAGTGCCTCCACATGTGCTGATGGCAGTGACTTGCATTCTGCCTTATATATATCAGAGCGTGAGTCATGGGCGGGGGCGCACGCCTGTAATCCCAGCACTCTGGGGGGCGGGGGCGGGGGGGGGGCAGGCTGATCTCTGTGAGTTTGAGGCCAGCCTGATCTACAGAGTGAGTTCAAGACAGCCAAGCTACACAGAGAAACCTTGTCTCAAAAAACAAAACAAAAACCAACAACAACAAAAACAACTAAATAGTAGAGTGTGGTGAGTTTGCTTAGGGTAAGTCATCTCTCTCCCCACTGAGCATGACAAAGCCTACTTCTTAACACTCAAGGTTGAGACCAGACCATATTCTGAAGTAACTGTACTAAACAGGAAGAACCTGGCTAGGAAACGCGTTGGGTAACACCTCCCCTGCCTCTGCTTGCACCCTTAAATTACAACAAAATTTTTAGAGGGAAGTCACAGAAAAGAATGTCAGGAAATGAGTGACAAAGGTCTTGTTACCTGGCAAGACCTGCTTATATGCTGATAGACATGGATTGAAGAAATGACAGAGAAGGAAGGACAGATTCACCAGCCTTAAGGTCACCCTTAATGACCCTCTTCCAACCACTGGAAGCACCGCTGGCCCTGTTGAAATTCTCCAGAAAAAATCAGAGAGTCTCACTGACCACGTATCAAACTGTGTATCAAAACCACCAAGATAAAGTGGTGAAAGCAGGAGGGATAAAATCAGGGATAAAAATCGCTGTTAGTCATGTGACATCACCAAGATGGAAACAAAGTACTAAGACTTGCCAGATATCGGAAGGCCATGTCTTCTTAAAATACCTTCCAGCTGCTTTATGCGGCTGTTCTTGAGGTCTAGGAGGTGATTCAACCTCTCTAGTGTCTCACTGTGGTCCCTATTTTCATTATCAGCTTTCGTCATCATTGCTTCCAGCTCCTCCTGAAACAAAATAAGAGCTGAACTTTCTTCTCGGTGTCTCTAGAACCAAAGAGCCCTGACTTTAAACACCACACCTTTCTGGGGAAAGGAGATTGCCACCTCCTCAGCAGGGCAGGCTTGACCCAGGAAGAAAGTTTAGGTTTTCCATGGACCCAGAAGCTTAGCCCTTGCCATTCCATGAGCTGTCCCGTAGCTGACTTGGAGGGCCAGGGTGCTTGGGCATGTGTGAGTCCCCAAGCTCTTCCACAGGCAACACATTGCTAACCACCAGCCCTAGGAACCAGAGCGTGGTTTGCCTCCCCGTGTGTGTGGTTCCCATATGCCCCGCTCCCTGCCCCTTTCTGGAGTCGGCTCTCCTTGCACCTGATAGCACATGTTGATTTTGCGCTGCAGAAGAAGCATGTCTCTGGTTTTCTCTAGCTCCAGTGTGGTCTCTGCGTGTGACACTTGCAGCTCACTTAGCATCTGGGACAGCTTATTTTCTTCTTGTGCATTTGGTTCGCTGGACTACAGAGTGAAAAAAAATTGGTGAAAGCAAACATAAATGTGACAGGTTCGATCATTAACTCTCTCTAAAGAGGTTGTTGATGGTTGTAAAACAAGTTTCTTCAAGAATGTACAAGATTTAGCAGGGCATGATGGTGCACACTTCAAATCCCAGGACTCAGGGAGGCAGAGGCCGGCGGATCTATGTGAGTTTGAGGCCATCCTGGTCTACAGAGTGAGTCCAGGACAACCAGAGCTTCACAGAGAAACCCTGTCTCAGGAAAATATATATATAGAGAGAGAGAGAGCATTTATTGCTCTTTCAGGAGGCCCAGGTTTGGTTCCCAGCATCCACACAGTAGTTTATAATCAACCATAAATCCAGTCCTAGAGAATCTAAGTCCCTCTTCTGACAGCTATGGGTACCAGGCACAGACAGACAGACAGACATGCAGATACAATATTTGTATCTTAAAGTAAATTAAACATTTTTTATAAATATAACTTTTTAATTTTTTTTTTAGGTCATGTGCAGGTATTTTGCCTGCATGAATGTCTGTGTGAGGTGTTGGATTCCCTGGAACTGGACTTACAGACAGTTGTGAGCTGCCATGTGGGTGCTGGAAATTGAAATGGGGTTCTCTGGAAGAGCAGCCAGTGCTCTTTACCACTGAGCCATCTTTCTAGGACCCCTTTTAAAACTTTTAATGAAAACTAAAGAAGAGCCTACCTCTTTTTTGTTTGGGGGGCTTTAGTTTTTCGAGACAGGGTTTCTCTGTGTAGCCTTGGCTGTCCTGGACTCGCTTTGTACACCAGGCTGTCCTCGAACTCACAGAGATCCGCCTGTTTCTGCCTCCCTGAGAGCTGGGATTGCAGCGTGTGTCGCCGTGCCCCACAGAGTCTATCTCTTATGAGCTGTGAAGCATGGGGTCCTGTCTACTGGCAGCCCCCTCAGCACTTCCTAAATACTGCTGCATCAAGACAGCTTTGCTCTTTACATTTTTCGCTGGAGGTCCCTGCCGGAACCTTCTCAGCAGAATAGCTTGTTACCTCTCTCCGAGTTATCTGTGGGAACAAAGGGAGGTGAGCAGGCAGTTCAGACCACTCTTCTGGAGATGGTGGCTCTGTGGTTATTGTCTGGATGCTCTCTTCTTCCCATTCTTGCTGGTGGTAAAGGATGTTGGTGCTTTCAAGGTTCAGCTTTTCATCTGGAGCATCTGAAAAAGGAATGCAGAGGCTTGAAACCAGTTATTGGCAACCAAAGGCAGAGTTGAATCAAGCGTGAAATAATGTTTGGCTGTATGATGAAAAGTCATTTCCTCTTGCAGACAGAAGGGCCATCTAGGCTGCTGACCTAGTCAATGGAGGTGGCTCTTATACTTCTAAGGTAAAAATCAAGAGGGTAGAATTCCCAAGGAAGTGTGGGATAGAGAGGGAAGCATGAACAAGACACTCACGTGGATGACTAGAACAGGAGAGATGGCACTGGCTGCTCTTCCAGAAGACCCTGGTTCAGTTCCCAGCATCCATAATCATCTGGTCGGTAACTCAGATTACAGTGGATCTGACTCCCTCATACAGGCATATATGTGCCGGGGGTTGTTCTGATGCTTTATTTTGATGCTAATTATTGGCCCTCAAGATCTGGTTACTGCCCTGATACACCTATCCTTGTTTTGTTAATCTGACTAAGATATTATACATGATTGGTTGATTAAAGTCCTATACCTAGTCAGGGCAGAGCAGGGTATAGGCATGGCTAAGGTTCCTAGGCTTTAGAGGACAGGAGAATCATGGGAGAGAGACAGATAGGAAGAGAGAAGGAAGGATGCCGCCATGTTGGGTTAACATGGAGAAGAAACCACATGGGATGGGAGGAAGGACTCCAATAATGACATGGAAAGGCCCAGATGAAGAATACAAGCAAGTATCTTGAGATTATGGATGGAAGGTAGCCAGATAGGAATGATTAAGGTGGATGGCATTGGATGGGGGCTGGGAGATGGATAGTGAGGTTATTGAGACAGCATAGGTAGAAATATCAGCCCAGCCCAAGGTAGTAAGGCAATTATAAAATCTAACAGGTGTCTGTGTCTTATTATTTGTGAACTAATACCACCACAATAATTACAGGGCTAATAATAAACACATAGCCCAACACTCATTTTTATTTTCTACAACATATATATATGCCAAACACCAAATGTACATTAAAAAAAATTAAAAAAAAAAAAAAAAAGCACTCTACCAACTGAGCTAATACCCCACCAAATATTACTTTGTTGATAGCACCATCCAAACCAGTCTCTCACCAGTTTGACCGCATCGTGACTTCTGGCCATTAGTTCCCAGCAGCCCCCATCTCCATACCCACCCTAGCTGGAAGAAGGCGAGGTGTTATGTGGGTATCTCAGGGAAGGATGGTCATTGCTGCTCAGGGCACAGAGCACTCCATGGAGCACCAGAGAACCTACATCAGATCTCCTCTGATCCTATAAGACTCAGTTTGCACTTTATGCATACTGCGAGGCGCTTGGCGTACACTCCTTGGCTTTCTTATTTCGTGACTTCTGCCCTACCCAAATGCTCTTTCTTGTTGCTTTGTTTCATTTGAGGCAGAGTCTCACTCCGTACCCCAGGCTGGCTTCAAACTCTTGATCCTCCTGCCATGTCCTGGAGGGCAAAGGGAAGGTCCCCTATTGTCCTTATGTCATGAATATACTAGGTTCTAAAGAAAAAGTGAAAAGACTGTACAGCAGGGCCTATGACAGGATGAAGACGACAGTATCTTGACAACTTTTAAACATCTTTTAAGTAACTATCTCTTGTGACATAAGAGTTAACATGGGTTAAGCTGGACGCAGTGGTGCAGGTGTTCCTGTAATCCATATGGAATGAGGAGGCAAAACCGTGGTGGTGCGTGTATATCTATAATCCACATGGTTTGGTGGAACATGCATGTCTCTAATGGAATATAGAGGCAAAGACTGAAGGTCTGAGGCAGATTGAACCACATAGCGATACTTTGTCTCAAAAGTGGGAATGGGGGGGCAGGGAGCGGCTAAGAGCGCCTGGTACATCACTTGTCTGAATTGTGTGAGGCCCTCAGTTAAATCCCTAACACCAAATCAATGGGAAAAATAGAAAAATAGATAGGGACTAAAATGGTAGTAAAAGCTTAGGAACCAATCAAGATTAGTAATTTACTTCTCATTTTTTTACATCAGATGAAGAGAAAATGATTTTTTCATTCATCTCAGGAATGACTGAATTTTAAAAAATTCATTATTCTTTCCTTTTTTTTTATTTTTTTATTTTGAGACATGGTCTCACTACATAGCTCTGGCTATCCTAGAACTCATTATGTAGACCAGGCTGGCTTTGAATTCATAGAGATTCTTCTGTATCTGCCTCTCAAGTGCTGGGACTAAAGGTGTGTGCCACCATACTGAGTGAGAAAGTAATTCATTTTTAGCATGATCTTTAGTAAATGTTTAAAAACAATAAGTTGAAAATTGTATCATCCGAAACAGGAAGAGATTTGTGGGAAAAGGCATACTTTCGAGGTAGGCAGGTATTATGCCTTCCTGGCTAAATCAGACCTAATTGCTCATGTTTTACTTCTGGTTATCAATTACCCACAAAATACAGCGTCGCTTGGGGAGACTAGAGAAGCAGAGACCCAAGTTCCCCAGACGCAGAGGGTGCTGTACTTGAAAAAGCTCTTTCAGACCTGGTCCACCTTGCTTGTTGGTTGCTTGAAGCAAGACTTCAGTCTCCTCCAGCTCAGGGCCCATTTGGTCCTGCAGTGGACAGACCTGCTGAGGTAGCTGCTCCCTGCTGAGTTCTTCACCCCAGGGAGGCTGATGACCGCCATCCAGCATGCTGAAAATTGGAGGCACAGTGTCAGATGAGTCCTCAAAGGAGTATGATAAAGCATCTTTGTTACACAGTTTCAGCATCTCGAGGGGGCCTTAGTTGATCATTCCTTTCTCCACATGTTTTTTCTTCTGCCCAGGCTTTATTTGCAACTGTCATTTGCCAACTGCTTTGGAACTTTTGAGTGGCACTGAGGAGTTACTCAGTATCACCTCTGCCTCAGTTTTGAGGGTTCCACTACCCTAGTACCCCAATCACACTTTTCTCAAGGAACTTCTCCAACATGATGGCTTCCTTTGTCAGGGCCCATGTGTTAGGGTATACTGAGACCAGAGTTATAACTGAGAAGCAAGATCTTTCTTTTCTCACCTCCTCACCTTTTCTCCCTTTGCCAATGGCTACTTTAGAGAACACGCGTCTTTAAATTACTTGTTATAACTCAAAGACTAAAACAAGCCTTTCAACACCTGTACCTCCATTCCATGGTATTTAACTGTTAGACCTGCCTTGAGCGTAAAACATACAAGGCCAGGTCCGTGTCATTTATGCAAAAGAAATGGCATGACATTGACATTTAAAAACTTCCTGGCCAACAAAACAAAACAAAACCCACCATGTTCGGTGGTGGCAGACTCCTTTAATTCCAGTACTCAGGAGACAGAGGCAGGCAGATCTCTGAGTTCAAGGCCAGCCTGGTCTACAGAGTGAGTTTCAGGACAGCCACAGCTACATTGAGAAACCCTGTATCAAAAAAACCTAAAAGTAATTTGAAAGAAAAAAGAAGGAAAGGAAAGGAAAAAGAAAAGGAGGGAATGGAATGAAAAGAAAAGAAAAGAAAAAAGATTAGATTTTCTGGCCAGGAGTGGTGGCTTATGCTGTTAGTGACAGACTCAGGAAGCAGCGGCAGGTGGATTCCTCTGAGTTTTAGGCTAACTGGTCTATATAGGGAGTCTCTATCTTAAGACAAAACAAAAGAAAAAAACCAGTAGAGGTGGACATGGGCTCCTGCCAAACAACCCGAGATCAGTTCCCAGGTAGCATGTGGTGAAAGGAAAGAGCTGACTCCCACAAGCTGTCCTCTGACCTCCACATCCACACTGTGGCACATGCCCCTTCTAATAAATATAAAAATAAAGAGGTGAATGAGGGCTATTCCTTCCTCCTACAGCTTCTGGAACTCAGAGCTTATCTTATTCCTAAAGATTGATGGCTGGCACTTAAGAAATGTCTTAAAACAATCAAACAAACCCAAGCTGGGCATGGTGGTGCACACCTTTAATCTCAGCATTCAGAGAAGGAGAGACAGGCTGATCTCTGTGAGCTGGAGGCCAGACTGGTCTACAAAGCAAGTCCAAGATAGCCAAGGCTACATAAAGAAACCCTGTCTTGAAAAACAAACAAACACACACACACACACACACATACACATATATATAATTCATTTATTTATTTGCTTTTTAGGTCACGTGTGGTGTGGTGGGCACATGCCTTTAATCTCCACTCTAAGAGGCACAGGCAGGTGAGTTTAAGGACTACATAGTGAAATCCAGAACATCCTAGTCTACACAGAGAGACCCTGTTTCAGAAACAAAAGTTTCTTAGGAGGCTGTGGATGCAACTCTAGAGCACTTGCCCAGCATCCACTGTGCCCTGAGCACGGTCCTCAGCACTGCATGGACCAAATGTGGCAGCCTACCCCGTAATCCCAACACTCCAGAGGTAGAGGTAGGAAGAGAAGTTCAAGGATATTCTTGGCTATACAATGGGTTCCCACCCTTCCCCTGCCGGACCATAAATCCCTCACAGACTCAAGAAGGTAATAGATATTCTGAGTGATGCAGAGACCAGCAGCAGCTACTGCCTGGCACAGGTGACCTTCAAGGTCAGCTGACCCAGGTGCTGCCTCAAAGCCTTAACTATGTCAATCTCAATCTGCCTCTTGCCTTTTTTTTTTTTTTGGAAATAGGACCTCATTATGTTTGTTGCCTGAAACTTGGTCCTTCTGCCTCAGCCTCCTAAGTGCTGGGATTAGAGGTGCAGGATTCCACACCTGGTACCCTTTGCTGTCTTTTACTAGGGCAGAAGGCACACTGATTTAAAAAAAAAAAAAAGTCTCTGTACTTTTTTTGGTGGCACTGGAAATTGAACCAGAACTTCATACCTCCGAGGAATGTGCTCTACCACTAAACTACATCCCCAGCCCTCATTTTACTTTTATTTTGAGACAGAGTCCCACTAAGTTGCCTAGGTTTTCCCCAAACTCATCTGTAGTCCAGTAGGCTCTCAATTTGTGGATCTACCTGGTTTGGGTCCTGAGTAGCTGAGATTACAGGCCTGTGCCACAAGGCCCAGCTAGGTCTTTTTAATTACAAAATCGTAAAAATTTAAAATGAGAGGCTGGAGAGATGGCCCAGCAATTAAGAACACTAGTTGCTCTCCCAGAGGACCCAGGCTCAGTCCTCAGAACACACATGGTGGCCCACAGCCATCTGTTACTTCAGTGGCATCTAATGCCCTCTTCTGCCCTCCAGAGGCCGACAAAGGCATGCAACACACCCATACACATAAAATAAAAATAAGTGAAAAAAGAAAAGTGAAAAAAGACCTAGAATGAATATTAAACACAAGTCACGGCAGGGTTAGAGGACCTATTTACAAGGTGCCTTTCTTTTTGATCATTATTGTTATCTTTTGTTCTGTTTTGTTCTTTGAGACAGGCTTTCTCTCTCTAAAGTCCTGGCTGTCCTGGAACTCATCCTATAGATCAGGCTGGTCTTCTAGCCTCCATCTCTGCTGCCTTTGCCTGGGAATGTGGAAATAAAGGTATTTGCCACCATGCCTGGTCAATCTGTTTAGAACTTGGAAGGTTCCTAAATCTTTTATAGGAAACAGTGCCCCAGGACCAGACTTTGTACTCACTTTTCTAAGAGTCTGTTGTAACTGTCAGCCAGCAATTTTCGTTCATTTTCCAAATCTTCAACTCTGACCTGAAACTAAGAATGATAGAATCCTTGAGACTGTGCTGGTGTTGCTTTCTATCACAGAGCAGAGATTGGGCATGGGCTTCTCTGTACTGGTTCTACAAGGCGTCATTTGAAAGATTGGCGGGGGGGGGAGGGGGCAGTGGTAGTACTTGCCTTTAATCCCAGCACCTGGGGAGGCAGAGGCAGGCAACTTCAAGGCCAGCCTAGTCTACAGAGAATTCCAGGACAGCCAGGACTACAAACAAGGAAAGGAAACAAACAAAGAAGCAAAGGAAAAGATTGGGGTCAATTGAAAGTGGGCTGGGAACTTTTACTGGTATTAGAGAAAACTCTTGGAGCAAGTTTTCATTATGTATGTGTTCTTACCATCAGAGAAATGACAAATCATTATAAAAGATAAAAGAGATTAGTGAGATAGCTCAGAAGATAAGGGTGATTTCCACGAAGTCTGAGGATTTGATCCTCCTAACCCATATGATATAAGGAGAAAACAGACTCTCAAAAGTTGTCCTATGACATCCACACTTGAGCTGTGGTCTATGTACTTGCACATACAGACACACAATAAATAAATGTAAGGAAAAATGAAACAGCCAATCCTGGTGGTACACACCATTAACCTCAGCACTCGGGAGGCAAAGGCAGACAGATCTCTGAGCCTGATCTACAAAGTGAGTCCCGGACAGCCAATGCTACACAATGAGACCCTGTCTAAAACAAACAAACAAAAAATAAAAAAGAAAGAAAGAGAAAAGACTGGACTGGAGTGTTGCAGTGATTCTTGTGATCCCCAAAATTGTGAACTCTAAAACCCTGTTTATTGTTTGGTTGAGCCCTAACACACACATTTATTCTGAGAACTTTCTGTTTATTATAAACAGGTGATTATGGTGTGGTTCAGCCAGCCCTAGCACACACCTTTAATTCAAGAGCTCTCTGTATACCAGATCTAATAAAGTTAACCCTAAATCAAGAGGCGGAGCTAGAAACTAAACTGATGGAGATTAAAGAGTAGGAAGGACTTTGAGTTGAGGGGTATTTAAAACAGCATGGAGAAGAAAGAGCTTTTAGCTCAAGCTCTGGCTTTAGTTTAGGCTTCAGCTCCTCAGTTTTTGGGTTTTGAACTAGCAAACCTTTGGCCCTTTGTTTTTGGCCTTTTGCTCTTGGGCTGTCAGCTGAGCTAGGGAGCCTTTTGAGTTTTTTCATCCAGACCTGAGCTGAGAAGGAAGGTCAGCTGGTTACTTTCTCTGCCTTACTAAGCTAGCATGCTGTCACCCTGCATCTGGCTCCTGAGTCTTTATTGTTAAAATAGAATGGTTGGGATTTCTCATCACTTAAACACGAGAGGAAGAAAGACAAAAGAAAACAGACAAGTATAAATCTTCAGATGTTGCAATCATGTTAACTATGTGGTCTAGCCACTTTGGAGGCCCTCTTCTCTCATGGGAAAAATTGATTAGCAGGGCTGAAGAGACAGTTTAGTGACTAAGAACACTGGCTGCTCTTCCAGAGGACCCAGGTTTGATTCCCAGCACCCACATGATGGCTCACAAACCTCTGGGACTCCATTTCCAGGGTATCTAATGCCTTCTTCTGATCTCAGCAGACACTCATGTGGTGCATAGCTATACATGCAAGCAGAATACCAATAATGATAAATGTTTTTCATGGAATAGCCATATTTTTCTAAGATGTTCATTTTGAAGTTGGAATGCAGCAAGGTTTTTCTTTTAACTAATTAATTTATTATGTATACAGTGTGATGCTTGCATGCCAGAAGAGGGCCCCAGATCTCACTGTAATGTTCATGAGCCATCATATTGTTGCTGGGAATTGAACTCAGGACCTTTGGAAGAACAGCTGGTGCTCTTAGCCTCTGAACCAGCCTCCAGCAGTTTTTAATTAAAAGAAAATTCCTCCCTCACATCCTCAGGCTTGGCCCAGCACATATATTTATTTGTGTTTGTTTGTTTGTTTGTTTGTTTGTTTATCATGTAGCCCAAATTCTCTATACATTCAAAGAAGACCTTGCACAGCTCACCATCTTGTTTCCATCTTTAGACTGCTGAGGTTACAGGCATGTGTTAACGCCTGTTTTGCTTTGAGTCAGGGTTTCACCCAGATGGAATGAATTTAGAGACCTCTGCCTCTCAAGTGCTTGAAATAAAGACACCATGCCTGGCAGCACATTTGCTTTTGTGCAGTGTTGGGGATCAAATCCAGACTTTACATGTGTGGGGCAAGTACTCCATAATTAGGAGTGATCTGTCTTCACACACATCAGAGGAGGGAATCAGATCCCATTACAGATGGTTGTGAGCCACCATGTGATTGCTGGGAATTGAACTCCAGACCTCTGGAAGAGCAGTCAGCATTTTTAACCACTGAGCCTTCTCTCCAGCCCCAATATGGCAAATTTGATGGTGTCTTTGCACTACTATCATTTACCTCCTTCAGCGTTATCTGCAAGATAGACGCATCTTGCAGCTGGGTCTTCAAGCTAATGGCTTTCTTGCTCTCCTCTGTCAGCTCTGCCTTGAGCTCCTTCACTTGGCTGAGGAAGGCATCATGGGTTGCATTCAGTATTCCCTGATTCTGCAGACAAAAGGAAACTCCTCTAGGAGTGATCACATGACTCAACAGGCATGGTTTCCAGACAGCAACTCCATCATTCTTAGGTGAAGGAACGACCTTGTCATGGTTTGAATAAGAATGGTCCCCACAAATTCATTTATTTAAATGCTTAGTCATTAAAGGAATGGCACTACTCTAGAAGGATTAGGAGGTATGGCCTTGCTGGAGTAGGTGTGGCCTCATGAGAGGGAATGTGTCACTGGGGCGGGCTTTGGTTTAAAAGCCAGGCCCAGTGGTATTCTCTCTTTTCCTGATGTCCAGGGATCTATATACAGAACGCTCAGCTACTTCTCTAGCATCATATCTGGGTATGTGCTACCAGTCTCCCCACCGTGGTGACAATGAGTGAACTACTAGTATCATGACAATGGACTAATCCTCTGAATCTGTAAGCAAGCCCCAGTTAAATACACTTTCCTCCTCCTCCTCCTCCTCCTCCTCCTCCTCCTCCTCCTCCTCCTCTTCTTCTTCTTCTTGGCAAGGTTTCTCTGTGTAGCCTTGGCTGTCCTGGACTCACTTTGTAGACCAGGCTGTCCTCAATTTCAGGCTGTCCTCAATTTCACAGAGATCCCCGTGCCTCTGCCTCCCAGAGTGCTGGGATTACAGGCGTGCACCACTGAGCCTAACTGTTAAATGCTTCCTTTATAAAAGCAACTCTTATTAAGAAATAGACTCAAAGAATCTTTATTACTCTCTGATCCCAGGAGTGGTGGTACACACCTTTAATCCCAGCACTGGGGAGGCAGAGGCAAAGGGATCTCTATGAATTTGAGGTCAGCTTGGTCTACACAGTGAGTTCCAGGATATCCAGGGCTTTGTAGAGAGATCCTGTCTCAAACAATAGCAACGACAAAAATTACCTTCTGGAGCAAGTCTTCATATGCCTGGAAGAAATAAGTATAAGTCTTATTTACCAGTTCACCAATTTCACAAGATACTTGACATCTCTATAAGATAAATATAGTTGGGTATGGTATCCCCTGCCTTTAGTTCCAGCACTCAGAAGGCAGAAACAGGAGGATCTCCCTGAGTTTGAGAACAGTTTATTCTACATAGCAAATTCCAAGCCAGGCAGGGCTACATAGTGAGACCTCATCTCAAAGACAGAGAAAGAGAGGAAAAGAAAAGATACATTGTGCCTCAGCAGAGTAGCCATATATTGGACCATGCTGAATGAAGGAAGGCCCAGCCACACAGAATGATGCCACCATCATCTATTCACCCAAAGTAGGAATCTAGGAATCCATTTCTCTGTTACCATCACTCTCTCTCCTTTGGAGACTGAGTTTGTTTTGTTATGTCTCGGGGTCTTATCAAAGCAAGATCCCTTTCTTTCCAGGGTTCTCTCCCCCTTGGGCCCTCAACTGGTTCCCTTGATTCCCCTGCCCTGAGCCTCCATAGGATTTCTGTGTCTACAGTGTGTATCACCTATTCTAACCCTTATTCTATTCTGAATGTTGCTATTTTCTCTCCCAATTTAGTTATTGTATGTATATGCACCACATATGGACTTGGTTCCTGCAGAGGTCAGAAAAGTGCATCAAATCCCCTGGACCTGGAGTTAGAGACAGTTGTGAGCCACCATATGGGTGCTTGAACCTGGAGCCTCTGCAAGAACAACAAGTGCTTTTAACCTCTGAGCTATTTCTCCAGCCTCTCTCCTGGTTTTGGTTTGTTTGTTTGTTTTGTTTTGTTTTGAGACAGGATCTCACATAGCCCAGGCTGGCCGAAGACTTGTTATATAGTTGATGATTGCCTTGAGATATGGCAATTCTCAAGACATCTGAAGATTTCAGGACAATATGAGAACTCTCCTAAGTCATCTATATTCCTACCTGTAACTAGCAACTATTGGTACTTTGTAACTGTTTTCCTAAAGATGTTCTTTATCTACTAAAACGTATTTCAAACCTCATGCTTTTCGAAGGCTATGAGATCTTTTGGAGGGAAGAGGTTTATCTTATGACAAGCTTGTTCAAAACCCCTCCCCAGATGCCCTATCTATGGGCGATGGCCTAAATTACTAACAGGCTCTAGGGCCTAAAACCTCAGTGTGTCTACATTCACCTCCTTAGAAATTTTTTTCTTTTCTTGCACACGTAGTACTGCATGACACTCTTCTGGTATTTCAGAATTCAGTTCATGAGCTCATTCTTTTATGAATCCTTTTTTAAAGGTTTTTAATTTTTAATTTCTATGAATGTATATGACTGTTTTGCCGGGATGTGTGTCTGTGGACCACTGCCTACCTGGTATCCACAGAGACCAGAAGAGGCAGCTGGATCCCTTGGAACTGGAGTTACTGATGGTTGTAAGCCACCAAGTGAATTGCTGGGAATTAAACCTGGAGCCTCTAGAAGAGCATCCAGGGCTCTTAATCACTGAGCCATCTCTCCAACCCCCTTTTATGAATCTGTTTTGCTTTTACACCTGCCTCTGGGGACCTGATCACTCCCTTTTTGATATCTCCCACACCTCACGTAATAGAAATAGTGAGAAAAAAAAATAGACTTTCAAGGCTTGGTTCTGAATAACACCTGTAAATTATGTGACCTTAGACAAGTTAGTGTCTTTGGATTATGCTCTCACATATGTAAAACAGAAAACCCAGCGGGGTGCAGTGGACATACTGGAAATCCTAGCATTTTGGGGGGCTAAGAAAGGATTGTATGTGAAGCTAGCCTGAGGTACATAGTGAGTTTCAGTTTTCAGCCTACATTACAGAATGAGGGCCAATCACAAATAAAAGGGGGAAATACAGAGTGGAAAAAGAACAGAAAATGAAGGAAGAGGAGGGGGGGAAAGGAGAAGGAACAGGTTTATTTTCTTAACTAACACCCCACCCCTTTCTGCAGTACTAGAGACTGAACCTAGGGCTTCATGCAAGAATGAATTGGCTTTTCCTTCTCTAAGATGTACAGCTGATCATAGCAACTCACCTCTTGAACTCGTGTTAACTGGGCTTCCGTCGCTGCCAGTGTGGCGTTTCTTTCATATAAGAGCTTCTTGAGCCGAATCAGCTCCACATTCCCCTTAATGGAAGCTCTGCAAATAGAAGACACTGAGCTGTTCCATCTGGGGTGCAGCCCTCCTGCTGTTGCCTGTTCTGTGTCCCCACAACACACCAGAAGTGGGAAGCAGTCTGCAAATATCCTTCCTCCTATTTTTTAAAAAAGATTTATGTATGTATTTATTATAGATAATGTTCTGCCTGTATGTACATCCACATGCCAAAAGAGGTCATCAGATCTTATTATAGACAATTCTGAGCCACCATGTGGTTTCTGGGATTTGAACTCAGGACCTTTGGTCTTAACCTCTGAACCATTTATTTCTCCAGCCCCCTTCCTATTTTTAATTATGATAGTTAAGACCTGAGGACCACCAACCTTAAACCTTGAGTTCTAAGAAAACACAGTAAGTATTTTTTTAAATATGGTTCTCACAATTTCTAAGAAGTCTTACGGAGTTCAACTAAATATATGCCTTATTTCCTTAGAAACAGAGAAAGGCAAAGGAGGGCTATTTTATTTTCAAATCTAGGAGATGATGTTTCTGGGTGTTTGATTGAATTTACATATTTGAGACAATGTCTTACTATATAGCCTAAACTGTTTTTCTTTGGTTGTTGTTGTTGTTTTGTTTTTTTCCTTTTTAAAAAATGATTTACCCAGGTGTGGTGGTACACATGCCTTAACCTTAGCACTAAAAAACTTGAGAGGAAGAAGCAGAGAGGTCTCTGAGTTTGAGGCCAGCCTGGTTTACAGGAAGAATTCTGGGACAGCCAGGGGCACACAGAGAAACCTTGGAAAAACGAAAACAAACAAAACAAATTATTTGACAGCACACACTTTAATCCCAGCCTTTGGGAGGCATAGGCAGGCAGATCTCTGTGAGCCTGAGGTCAGCTTGGTCTACAGAGTGAGTTCCAGAAACAGCCAAAGATACTTAGAAAAACCCGTCTCAAAAAATATAAACAAACAAACAAACAAATAAATAAATAAAGCAAGGAAGAAAAGTTGAAAAGATATCAGGAAGAATTTGGTCTCACTCTGTCTTAGTGACTTTTCACTCTCAGTCCTGGTAATTACGAATGAGATCTTTAAAATTCCACTGCTGCTTGTATGATACCTGCAAGTCGTTAAATATGGGGCTTAAGTGTTCACTGCGTAACATGTCTCCACGTGCATGGGTTTGTAGCTGAAATGGCAGAGAGAAGTGGGACTTCTTATCATACAGGAGGTCCCAAGTTTGGTCCCCTGAACTGTGTAGATCAGATGTGGTGGCGAACGCCTGTAACCCCAGTGCTTGGACGGTAGAAGACCATCCTCTGCACCATAGTAATACAGTAAGTTTGGATCAGCCCAGGTTACATGAAACCCTGTCTCAAAAAGCAAGCGAGCAAACAAATAAAAAATAAATCAAAAGATTGTTATTCAGCCTGAGGGAGCAACAGTAGGGTAGAGGTGGGTTGCTATCACGTAATGACGATCTGGTAGAATCCTAAATGCATATGATTAAACAAAAACAGCAAGCCCTCACAGGGAGAGGCAGGTGGATCTCTGAGTCTGAGCCTGGTCCACAGAGTAAGTTCCAGGACAGCCAGGACTACACAGAGAAACCCTGCCTTGAAAAACAGAACAAAAGCCAAACAAACAAAAAAAGCCAACCCCCAAAGCTGTATCCGTACAGTTCCAGCTATATAATATTTTGGGGAGAGGCAAAAACTATATAGAGAGACAGTTCAAGATCAATGGTCACCAGTGTTTGGGGAAGGAGACATAAACAGGCAGAGCACAGGAGATTTTTTTAGGGCATTGAATACACTGTGAGATATAATGGTGGATCCATATAATTACACATTTGCCCAGAATGCACAACACTAAGAATAAACTTTAATATCAACTGTTGCCTCTGTTAATGTTTGTTCATTTTTAATGTTTTTAAATTTTTAGTTACATTGAGAAAGGGTCTTACTATGTAACCTGGTCCTGCCTGGAATTCCCCAGTCCAGGCTGGCCTTGAGTTCATAAAGACTTGGACCTGTCTCTCTGCCTTTCAAATGTACATCCCAAGTGCTGGGATTAAAGGCATTTACCTGTTAGTTCATTTTTTTTTTTTTTTAAATAAAGGCATCAGTTCCTGCTCAGTGGTAAAGAGCACTTGCTGCTCTTGGAAAGGCCCGGATTCTAGTCCCAGGTCAAACTCTAGGCAACTGCAGTTCCAAGGGATCTGTTGCCTTCTTCTGACCTCTTTGGGCACCAGGCACACACTCACAGTACACTTACATATCTGCAGGCAAAGCATTTGTACACACCATAATGCCTACCCCATCTTCCTCTTTATATGCAGATTTCTCTGGGTCTGTTTGTCAGACTGAATTTATTCCTAAAGAATCTCTTTTCCTCTGAAGTGAAGAAAAGCTGGAAGTAGGAATCTTACTTTTTCTGCTTAGTATGGTTTGAGGCATAGAATGTTAGCTCTCACCTTAGCTCTGCAGCCTTCTGAGCATACTCCAGGGAGCTTGTCTGTTCAAGCTTTTCATGTTCCGACATTTTCTCAGGAGACCTGGGTGGCTCTTCTGCTTGTCTATACAAGCACAAGTTAGGAGTCATGACGTCAGCACTGTTAGGCATACAAAGACCAATGATTGTAGCCCAAATCAGGAATTGGCGGATAATTACAGGATAGTTGTATAATTAGAGGAAGATTAAACACAAAAGGGAGCCTGGGTCGGTGGCACACACTGGTGATCCCAGCACTCAGAGAAGCAGAGGTAGGTGGATCGTTGTGAGTTCAAGGCCAGTGTGGTCTACCAAGCAAGTCTAGGACAACCAAGGCTTGATACACAGAGTAATCCCTGTCTTGAAGAATAGAGAGAAAGAACAAGAGAGAGAAAGAGGCAAAATTTTTACAGGGCTTAGAACTGCACTATTCGCTTACCAAAAACGTTAGCACACTTAGCAGGTGGTGGTGGCACACACCTTCAATACCAGCCCTGGGGAGGCAGGGGCCAGTCTGGTCCATAGAGTGAGTCCAGGGCAGCCAGGGCTACACAGACAGACCCTGTCTCAGAAAGAAAAAATAGAAAAAGTGAATTATCTCAGTGATATACAGGATAATCTTACAAAGTATAGCCTGCAAACGTCAACAGGAGATAAAAACTAAAAGGAAAGAAGAATACTTTCAGTCATGAAAAGGACTTTTGTTCTTTCCTCAAAGGACAGAGAAACGCGTGTCTTATAAATATAAATATGAACATAAACGTAACTTTTGACAGGACCTCACTGTGCAGACCAGCCTGGCCTGGAACTCACAGAGATCCACCTGCCTCTGTGCCTGGGTGCTGGGACTAAAAGAATTCTCATCCTCTCTTGTTTTTTTTTTTTTTTTTTTAAGATTTATTTCTTTATTTTATGTATGAGTGCTCTATTTGCATGTACATCTGCATGACAGGAGAGGGTACCAGATCTTATTATAGATGGTTGTAAGCCACCATGTGGTTGCTGGGAATTGAACTCAGGACCTCTGGAAGAACAGACAGTGCTCATAACCTCTGAGCCATCTCTCCAGCCCCTTGTTTTGTATTTTGAAACAAAGAAGTCGAAGTTTTGACTTTCATCTTCTCCGATTACCCCAGAAATCAGTAACACTCACTGATCTTCAACGACGTATTTCTGACTAAGGCTTTTTGGGTAACAACACGGTACACACAGAGGCACTCACAGTTGGCTGGCTTTACTGCTTATTTCCATTCTGTTGTTTTCATCAGTCTCATGTCCCTTAAATGTGGGAGGGGCTGTATAGCTGCGCCTGTCTTTTGGCCCTGAAAGTTTATGCAGGAAAAAAAAAAAGGTGAAATGTAGCCACATTACCTTCTCGAATGCCACATGTTAAAACCAGGACACGAAGTGCTGGCCACTGAGAGCCTTGAAACTTGGGGGAAATCCTTGTGTGACAATTAGTCACAGAGGCGGCTCTAGGACTCTTACCTAAGATCACAACTGCAAATACCTTCAGTCAAAAATATTCAGCGAGTGTGTCCAGCCCTAAACTGGTACCTAATGGGTGGTCAACCATGCTTAAATGTACCCATTATTTCATTTCGGTTGGTTGGCTTTTTTGTTGTTGTTTTTAATATTTATTTATTATTTAAACAGTATTCTGCCTGCATACCAGGAGAGGGCACCAGATCTCATTATAGACGGTTGTAAGGCACCATATAGTTGCTGGGAATTGAACTCATGACATTTGGAAGAGCAGCCAGTGCTCTTAACCTCTGAGCCATCTCAACAGCCCTGTTGTTGTTGTTTTTGTTTTTCAAGACTGGGTTTCTCTGTGTAGCCCTGGCTGTCCTTAACTCAATTTGTAGACCGGGCTGGCCTCGAACTCATAGAGACCCACCTGCCTCTACCTCTTGAGTGCTGGGTTTACAGACATGCACCACCATGCCCGGATGTTACGTTTTGTTTGTTTGTTTATTTTGTTTTAAATTAACATACAAAATGACGGGTTTCTCCACTTAGTGTATGTTCCTTTGCCTCCCCCACGCCCTTCCCTGGTGTGATTCCTCCCTTCCCCAGAGGATCTTCCCTTCTGATTGCTCTTCACTGCTTCCTTCTTTTCACACCCTCTCCCCTCCGTTTTTTGTCTTGTTTTTCAATTTCCATTTGGTTTTTGGTGGTCTTGGAAATTTACCTACAGTCACAAGCACGCTGAGCAAGCCCTCTGCCGCTGAGCTACATGCCAGCAGTGAATTCAGAAATTTGAACCCGAATTTCAAGCACGGGGCGGGGGTAAGGGTGGGATGAGGGGAGTTGGGATGGATCAGGACTGAGCCTCAGTCCCTTAGCAGGGGTCTGCTTGGGTTTCTGCCGCAGTTACACACCAGCTGTGTGGGGCAGTCTGCGTCCCGCGATGACTCCAGACTGTGCACCGCCTGCCGGGGTCGAGAGACACAGGCGCTGCACATGCGCTTTCCTCCTGGGAGCTGGGGCGCGCGGGGGCGCCGATGGGCACAGGGTCGGGGAGGCCCAGGGTTGCCTCCTCCGCCTAGCAGGATCCTGGAGCACAGCTACAGTGCGTAAATCCGGCTGGGCAGTGGCGGATCGCTGCACGGTCGTCCTCCGCCTGTGGCACAACAGACTAGGAGGGTTTCCTCACCCACCAAACCCATGTTGGGTTGAACTCAGGGCTTGATTCTAGGTGGGTGAACCCAGCTGGCCCCTGCATTGGTGTCTGAGTTAGGCTCACTATTGCTATGTATTTGCTTATATCTCCAGATTGTAGTCCATCACTGTAGAGGTCCTGGAAGGGTGCTGCTAACTGCCTTGTTCTCCCCAGCTTGTTGAGCCTGCTTTCTTCTGGAACCTAAGACCACCAGCCCAGGACTAGCGCCACCCGCAATGGGCTGGCCCTCCCCATCAATCACTAAGAAAATGCCCTACAGCAGGGTCTTCCTCCTCGCCCTTATGAGACAGGGTTCCTCTGTGTTGTAGACCAGTCCAGCCTCGAACTCAAAGAGATCCATCCACCTGCCTCTGCCTCCCAAGTGCTGGGGTTAAAGGCCTGTACCACCACGCCTAGCACTTCAAATATTTTAAAAGGGAGGAAAAACAGCTCAATACTCAATACTGCAAAATATATATATGTATAAAATAGGCAAAAAGGCAATAGGCATACCATTTTATTAAAAAAAATATGTTCTCTCTCTTATTCACAATTAAAATTCCCCACTAATGGAGTGGCCATTTTAGCTTTTTCTTTTCTTCTTTCTCTCTCTCTCTCTCTCTCTCTTCCCTTTTGGTTTTTTGGAAACAGGATTTCTCCGTGTAGCCCTGGATGTCCTGGAAACTCACTTTGTAGACCAGGCTGGCCTCCAGGTTCTCCCTTCATCCCTCAGTCCTTTTGGCTGTCATACCCTGTCCACTACTCTGAACTCTCCAGCCTAGGGTCTGGGCTGCTCTTCCCCCTAGCTGCTTTTCCCTATATAACCCAGCTGCTTTGGCTACACTGGTCCTTTTTACCCCTTTTGCTCTCTTTGGCCCCAGCTGCCCCTGTTAGTGGGTGGCTCATAGCTTGCCTTCCCTGCCCCTCTCTCCTCATATCCGGTTCAGTCTGGCTGTGTTCCCTCTGGACCTTTTCCACTTATGCTCTCACAATGTATCCACAATAAACCTCCACCAGACCTAGAAACAGTCATGTCCTCCTTTTTTTTTTTTTTCTTAATTTCTTTTATTCATTAAATGCTGTATATATGCCCTAAGGTAAGATTAATCTCTGAGTCAGGCTTGGTGATGGCAGGTCTGGATTTAACTGCTGCTCAGTCCCACAGTTCTTTTTTTTTTTTTTTAACAATTTATTTACTTTTATTTTCTGTGCATTGGTACAAAGGTATTAGAATCCCTGGAACTGAAGTTATTGACAGTTGTGAGTTGCCATGTGGGTGCTGGGAATTGAACCTGGGTCCTTTGGAAGAGCAGGCAGTGCTCTTAACCACTGAGCCATTTCTCCAGCCCCCACTCCCACAGTTCTTTAGGGAACATTATCACATGAGAAAAAGCAAGATCACTGGAATGTGATATCTGCTCATAATCCCAGCCTTGGGGGCGGAGGCAGGGGGATGCTTCAAGATCCAGCACAGCCAGGATTATATGTTACCCTGTCTCCAAAAACAGCACAGGAAGGGACTGGGTATGCTGGCACACTCCTTTGATTCTGCACTCAGGAGCCAGAGGCAGGGAGAACTCTGAGTTCAAGGCCAGCCTTGTCTATACAGAGCAGCAGTTCTCAACTTGTGAGCCTGGAGAGATATTCCCATTACAATTTATTTTGTGCTTTTATTTTTTTTTTCCAGAGCTGAGGACTGAACCCAGGGCCTTGCACTTGCTAAACAAGCATTCTACCACTGAGCTAAATCCCTAACCCTGCCATTACAATTTATAATGGTAGGGAAAATTACAGTTATGAAGTAACAATGGAAATAATTTTATTGTTGGGGTTCACCACTTCATGAGGAACTGTATTAAAGAGTTGAAGCATTAGGAAGGTTGAGATCCACTTCCGTAGAGGGTTCTAGGCCAACTGAGGCTACATAAGAAGACCTGGTTGCTTCAATTTTTAAGGCTGGAGAGATGGCTTAGCAGCTAACAATGCTTGCTGCTCTTCCAGAGGACCAGAGTTGAGTTTCCAGCACTCACAATGGACAGCTCACTACCTGTAACTTGAGCTCCAAGTGTTCCCACAACCTGTTCTGGCCTCCTAGGGCACCTTCATGCATGTACACAGACACATGAAAATTTAATAGTATGTACAGAACACAACATGCTCAAGACAGGGTTTCCCTGTGTAGCCTGTGCTGTCCTGGACTCACTTTGTAGACCAAACTGGCCTCAAACTCACAGAGATCCACCAGCCCCTGCCTTTGCCTCCCTGAGTTCTGGGATTACAGGTGTGCATCACTGTGTCCAGCTCTTTACATTTCAAAAGAGAAATTCCTTTTCGTATTATACCTACCCCCTCGTGCTGCCAAGACTTTACCGTTCTGGTCAGGTGCAACCAGCAGGCACCTGCCTGTCTCTTGCTGTGTATTGTTATGCTAGCACAGGTTACTTGGGCTGCTCTTGTGCTCTGTATTAAACTATGAGATGTGTGGTAGAAAAACAATTAAGCAATCATGTTTGCAAAAGTATTTCAGAGCCTGACATCCTTGAGTTGGGTTTTTTTTTTTTGTTTTGTTTTGTTTTTTTGGTATAGATATATAAGCAATATGAGATCCTTTTGGGTTAGTGTGGAGCCAATCTGCTATGGACACAGCTTTTGAAATTTTAAGAATTCTGGGTACCTTCTGCTTTTGTCTCGTTGCTTTGGAGGAAGTTCCTTCACCAACATGGGTTCTTCATGAAGATGAAAGAGTCTGTTGTCTAGTTCCTTCTGGCCCTTCTTGCCCAATTGTGATTTAGCCTTTACATTCTTACGTGAAGTCCCTGAAGAAAGCAAGTAGAGAATATTTTCACATGTTACTTTGTTTATTTATTTTATTTCATTTATTGTTTAAGAGTCTCAGATCTAGTGTGGTGGTCTATGCCTTTAATCCCAGTACTTGGGATTCTAGGCAGGTGGATCTCTGTGAGTTCAAAGCCAGCCTGATCTACAGAGTGAGTTCAAGGTCAGCTTGGGCTACACGGTAAAACTCTGTCTGGGGATGGGGAGAAAAAAAAAAAAAAAAGAAAAAGAGTCTCATAGGCTGACAAGATTATTCAACTGATAAAGGTGCTTTCTACCAAGAGTGACAACCCGAGTTCAGTTCCTAGAATTCACATGGTAGAAATAGAAAACAGACTCTCAAATTTGTCCTCTGATCTCCATACATGCATACCATGACATACAACTACCTCCCCACCAGTAAATAAATAAGTGTGAAAATTAAATAAAAGGGCCTGGAGAGATGACTCGGTGGTGAAGAGCAGTTGCTGCTCTTCCAGAAGACCCACAGTGGATTTCTAGCACTCACATGGCAGCACATAACCTTCTCTAACTCCGTTCCCAGAGGATCTGATGTCCTCTTCTGGCCTCCACTTACACTGCGTGCATGCCGTATACAGACACTCATGTAGGCATAAAGCCATACACATTAAAAATACAAATAAAAATTAAATATAAAGTAAGATAAAATTAGATATATATCCATATCTACATAATTAGATAGATAGATAGATAGATAGATAGATAGATAGATAGATAGATAGATAGGGTCTCCTGTTGCTGGGATGGCCTTGGATTCCTGATCCTCTGTCTTTGAGGGCTTGAGAAACTGTCTCCAGGCTTTGGAACAAAGTCCTAGCTTGTTTCAGGGAGAGGAAACCAGAGCGCATTCTTCATTGTGTGACTGTTCCCTGCCCCAGGTGATTTCTGATCTCATGGTAAATTGAAATGTTAAAGTCCAGAGGTCTGCACTTCCACACAGACATACACACATACACAAAATTAAACAAAGACACATCCTTAAAAGTGGTGAAGCGGGTGTACCCTGGAAGGAGGGTCCAGTGTTTAAGACCACATACTGCTCTCACGGAGGACCAGGGCCCACGTTGGCCAGCTCACAGTAGCCTATAACCCTGAAGCTAGGGATGGAATTCTCTACTACAGAGAGCTCACTGGCCCTGCTTATTGTCTTACTCTGTAATAGCCCAGCCTAGCCTTGAATTTTCAATCCTCCAGTCTCTGTCTCTCAAGTACTGGCGCAGCAAGAGACTAGAAACTGAAAAAAGCTACATCCGTAAAGTGTGGTGAGCCGGGCTGTGGTGGTGCATGCCTTTAACCCCAAAGCTCGAGGGGAATGCAGGTGAATCTCTGAGTTCAAGTCCAACATGGTCTACACAGCCAATTTGAGGACAGCCAGGGTTATACAGAGAAAAACCAAACCAAACCAAACCCAAAAAGATTGGGTGATGGCCCATGTCTTTAATATTAGCACTAAGGAGCCAGAGGTAGGCAGAGTTCTGTGAGTTCAAGGCCAGCGATGTTAACACAGCAAGAACTTATCTTCATAAATAAATAAATAAAAGATTACCATATAAAAGAAGTTAGTGGACAGAAACTGGAAGCATTTTTCCCAACAAGGCTGCCTACAACAAACTTAGCATGTTTGAGAAGAGCTCTCCTTATACAAATGTATAGGTACCAGGAGCTTTTTGCTTTGTTTTGAAAAAGTAAAAATAAAATTCTTTGGAGACACAGTTTCTCTGTGTATCCTTGGCCATCCTGAACTCACCTTGTAGATCAGGCTGGGCTTGAACTCACAGTGATCCTCCTGCCTCTGCCTCCCTATGTGCTGGGATTATAGGTGTGTGCCACCACCCTGGCTTTGTTTTTGGTTTTTAAGATAGGATTTCTCTGTGTAGCCCTGGCTGTCCTGGAACTCACAGAGATCCACATGCCTCTCTGCCTCTTGAGTGGTGGGATTACAGGCATGTGCCTCCAGGCTTGGCTAGAGTCCCTATTGTAAGAATTTCAGGGGTAGTCTGAGCATCTCAAAGTGCACATCCGTCCCTTCTTTTCCAGGCTCCTCTTGCACTGGAGGCTAATACATCCACGAGCGCAGGGATGGCAGTGCTTTGTTGGCTCCATTTTTCAAATAAAATTGTTTAACCTAAAAAAAAATTAAAAGCAAAAAAAAAAACAAAACAAAACAAAAACAAAAACAAAACCAAACAACAACCAAAAAACCACAATGGCTGAGAAAACATCTCAGTCAGCAAAGTGCTTGCCTCACAAGCATGAGGATCTGAGTTTAGATCTCCAGGACCCATGTAAAAGGTCAGTAATGGTGGCATATGCCTGTGACACCAGCAATGGCTGATGGGTGGGTATGTGAAAGCTCACAGGCAACCTACCTAACTTATATAGTGCCAACCACCAAGATTGCCCTTTGACCTCTAGTATGTGCACTCCCATACACAGCTGTGCACACAACCTACACACACAGGATCAGAATAAAATACTAAGAGAGTCGAATGTGGTGGGCTGAGTAAGAATGGTCCCCATGAACTCACGTGTTTGAATGCTTGGCCGTAGGAAATGATACTGTTATGAGGTGTAGCCTTGTTGGAGGAGGTGTGGTCTTGCTGGAGAAAGTGTGTCACTGATAAGGTGGGCTTTGAGGTCTTATATATGCTCAAGCTCCACCCAGGGTGGTACACAAAAGTCTCCTGTAGAACTCTAGCACAATGTCTGCCTGCATGCCACTGGCTTCCCCTTCCCGCCATGATGATAATGGCCAAACTAAAAGCTCTGAACTGTAAGCCAACCCCAATTAAATATTTTCCTTCATAAGAATTGCCATGGTCAGGGTGTCTCTTTACAACAATAAAACCCTCACTAAGACATCTAAGACAGCTTAGAGATGTCTCAGTGGTTAAGAGTGCTTACTGCTCTTTTGAAGGACTCAGGTTCAGTTCCCAGCACCCTCATGGTGGCTCACAACCATCCCTAACTCTTGTTGGAGGGGATCCGATGCCTCTTCTGAGCTTCACAGCCCTATAGGCATGTGCTGCATACACATACACACAATTAAATAATAAGTTTTTAAATAAAAAGAGCGTTTAAGGAAAGAGCTGAAAGAAACCAGTTTCCATTGCAAAGACTGACCGCCTCACAGTGGCAGACAAGGAATTCTCTCATCAGTGGAGACATCCATGTCTAGGCCCTGGATTTACCTACCTTTCAGCAGATGAATTGGGTCTGTGTCTCTAACGGGCAGATCCTCTGGCATATGATCCAGCAGATTCAGCATCACCTCGGTTATCAGGCTGTAAGAGAGCCTAGAAGACCGTAAATGAAGGAGAAGTCTTTATGGAGTTATAGCTTTAAACTGTCGTCAGCAGGATCTCCTCAGATTGTAGTAGGAACTTCTCAGTACTTTTGTGACAGTGCTTGACTGGTCAAAGTTATCTTTGGAGTGATTCGGACAACTCTAAGGCCATGCATGCAGTAGTCATGATACTACTTATTCAAAATAAAAATTAATTTTTCGATTATAGGACTGATAGTCTTATTCTCAATACTCAGGTAGCATTGTAATTTATTCATATGTGTTTATTTGTCTGCTCCCACATCTAAGATATAAGGACTTTGTGGAAAGAGAATCGATGTAACTTGTCACATTTGTATACCCAGTACAGTTTTTAAAGTGGTTCTAGAAAACAATAGGATCCCAGAGAGAAGATACCAGGAAGGGACAGAGTCAAAACTCTTGACTTTTTCTTTTTCTTTTTCCTTTTCCTCTGCTTGATTACTGTACTTGTTTCTTGAGACAGGGTCTCATTATATATCCCTGGCTGACCTGGAACTCACCTCTCTTTGCCTCGAAAATGCTGGAATTAAAGGCTTGCACCATCATGCCCAGCTATCATACTTTGTGAAGTATGGTCTCTCTATGCTCTGTATGAGGGCCCCTTCAGGAGCAGGGTGCAAGAATGAACATGGTTGCTTTGCTTAGGATTGGAGGAAATTTAGAAAGAGGCATCTCCACATTCTTATTAGAGTGAGGAGGGTAAGTTTGAGGCCAGACTGGCCTACCTAGTGATCTCCAGGGCAGTCTGAGTTGCCTGGAGAGACGCTGGGTTAGAGAAACCAGAGTTAGAGAGACCCTGTCTGAAAAACAAAGAACAGTAACAACAAAAAACCCCAACAGCAACAACAATAACAACACCCTCAAGAATCCCTCTCCTTTGAACTAAAGAGCAATAGAGGTAAAAGTGTGACATTTTGTGAAAAGTTTCCCTGTTATCAGTAGGTTGGGGAGAGTGGAGGAGAGCCTGGGTAGGATGGCATGTGCCTATAAAGCCAGCCCTTGGGAGGATAACCACAAACTCTGGGCTAACTTGGTCTACATAGGGACGTCCATGCTAGCCAGGGGTGCAAAGCAAGACCCATCTCAAAGAGTGAAAAACAAATGAGTACAGAGGGGAGAACAGTGCTAAGGAGGCATCTCCCTTGTTCATCAAGAAGCTAAGAAGGGCGGTGGTCTGGGGACAGAATAGTGCTATGGACCATGCAGACACCAAAGCATGAGCAATGAGTTGGACAGACCTAAGAAAGTGACCTGATTAAAGGTGACTGGTGGAACATCTCTGAACATCTCTGATACGGTACAAAAGGAATACACTTACTTTGCTCTTCCCCAAAGCATCAGGGTTAAAAAGGAGACATTATAAATATGCATTAGATATAAACTTACAGTCCTGGCTTCTTCCAGAGAGTTCTGCGCAGTGCAGTTCTTCTCCCTGGATTCCCTGCTGTCTCTAATACTTCTGCTTCCAATCCCCCTCCTCCTCCTGCTGGCTCAAGGGGACACTAATCCAGGCCTTTTAGCTGTTAACTCTTTGTAGATCTGTTTTTAGCTTTCTTTCTAGTGAAGACTCTACTTTCTCTCAACGCATATTGAACTTTGAGAGACAGCAGTTAAAGCATTACTTAGCTCAGGAATTTTTTTCTAAAACTAAAGCTGGAAAAAACATGTCTGACTTAGGAGTAATAAAATGAGGTGGAATTGGGAAGATGACTTTCACGTCTGGTGTTAAGGGGTCAGGTGTAGGAGCCTATGCCTGTAATCCCAAGACTAGGAAAACCTGAGGCAGGAGTGTGCTAAATTGGAGGTTGGTGGGGTTATGTAGTGAGTCAGTGGCTAGCCTGGGCTGCATAGCAAGATACTGTCTTCAAAAAAAAAAATCAGTCACTGGAGGGCGGAGACAATGGGAGTTAGTGAACCCTGAGATCTCTTTGAAGAAAAATGACCCTATGGGATCACTGTCTCTGACTGAATCCGTGGGACCTAGAGTAAAAGATACATTCAGATAATTTAATATTTTCCCACTAGAGCTTCAGGTATTCTAATTCTTCCATTTCTCTGCCTTTGTTTGTTTGTTTTTTTATTTTTGAGACAGGGTTTCTCTGTGTAGCTCTGGCCTTCTTGGACCAGTCTTGGCTTCAGACTCAGAAATTTGCCTGCCTCTGCCTCTTAAGTGCTGGGATCAAAGGTATGTTCCACTATGTTTTTGAAATAGAATTTCACGATGCCTCCCTGGCCTCTGAGAACTCTGTAAACTAGGCTGAAAAAAAAAACTCACAGAGATTCCAAGTGCTGGGATTAAAGGCATGCACAATAAGACCTGGCTATGCTTTTCATTTTTTCTTTCTGTCTTTCTTTCTATTTATTTATTTTGAGACGGGCTTACTGTACATAGCCCTGGCTGTCCTGGAACTCACCATGTAGACCAGGTTGACCACAGAGAATTAATCAAGAAAATTCCCCACCTGTCTATGTGAAAGCCACATTTCTTAAGTGGGATTCCCTCTTCCCAGTTTATGTCAGGTTGAAAAAAAAAAAAAAAAAAAACCCAGAAAACTAGCCTAGCCATCTCAAAGTACAAACTGGAATGATAAGAAGGCAGTGATCTAGGGGGGGCCGGAAATAACAATATTGAAAATAAGCCCAATATTACAGACAGGGGAGGCAGAAGCAGGTCTAAGTGGGAGCAGGATGGGGGTGGGGGTGAGGGTGGGGGTGGTAGAAATGTGAGAAGAGGGGAGTTGGGGGGCAGGATACTGTAGTATTCTAGGCTCTTATGACCAAGAACAAAGAGCTAGATCAGGAACACATGGTTAGAAATAGCCCAGTCATGTGCTGTAATGACCCTTTATATGTCCTTTGTATAATCCATCCCTCCCACATTTGGGGCTTTGCTTGAGAATGCTTTGTTCTTTGTATGGCATCTAGGAAGGGTTTCCGGTCTCTCTACCAATGGGCTTTTTTTTTTTTTTTTTCCGTATGTTAACTTTAATGTAGCTTTCTCCTGTCTCTACTCTCCTATTTCACTCGGTAAGTTTCCAAAATAGAACTTTTCATAGTTGCTATAGGGGTGATGAGATGCCTTAGAGGGTTAAGATACTTGCTGCCGAGTCTTCCCACTTCAGTTCAATTCCTGGAACCCACATGATGGGAGGGGAAAACCCATCCCCACAAGTTGTTTCTGACATGTGTGCTGTGGCACACATCAATTTACAATATATAAGAAAGGAAAGAAAGAAAGAAAGAAAGAAAGAAAGAAAGAAAGAAAGAAAGAA